AATTAAATTAATTAAAAAAGAAGGTTCTGGGAAATGCTTTGCCCTGTGAAGTATTCCAGGAACTCAGAGCAAAATGGGCTACTATAAAAAAGGAGTTGGTCCATTCTTCAGTCAGCACTCTGCAGGCCATTTGTAAAGGAACTGAGGCAAGTTTGAGACCCTCCCTAGTAATTCAGAATATCTTTCCATTTGGCACAAGACAAACCATGCATCTTTTGGTGTGTGTGTGTGTGTGTGTGTGTGTGTGTGTGTGTGTGTGTGTGTTGTGTGTTGTATGAGGTATGTGTGTTGTGTGTATGTATGTTGTGTGAGGTGTGTGTATGTGTTGTGTGAGGTGTGTGTATGTGTTGTGTGAGGTGTGTGTATGTGTTGTGTGAGGTGTGTGTTGTGTAAAGTATGTGTTGTATGTTGTGTGATGTGTGTTGTGTGTTGTTGTGTGAGGTATGTTGTGTGTTGTGTGAGGTGTGTTGTGTGTGTGTTTGTATGTGTGTGTGTGTGATTTATGAGGGGAGGCACGAATGCCATAAAATGCATGTGGCAGTTAGAAGACAACTTTGTTGGTTTTCTCCTTCCACTTTTACATGGGTTACCTGGGTTCCAGGGATAGAATTCAGGTCATGTTTTGGTTTGCTCTCTGTTGTGGTGATGAAAACCATGACCACAAACAACTTGGAGAGGAAAGGGCTATTGGGCCTCACAGATTAGAGTGCATTACTGGGGGGAAGCTAAGGCAGGATCTGAAGCAGAGGCCAGGGAGGGGAGCTGCTGCAGGCTTGCTCCTCACAGCTTGCTTACGTGGTTTCCGTGTACAACCCAGGATCACCTGCCTAGGGATGGGACCACCCACAGTGGACTGGGCCTCCCACATCAATATGATGCTGAGATTGGCCCACAGGCCAATCTGACGGAGGTGACAGGTGACTCTAGTTTGCCAAGTTGACAAACACTAACCCCCACAGGCCACCAGGCTTGACCACAAGCACCCTTACTCACTGGGCCGCCTCGGCAGTCCTTATCTTTGGTTTCCTTCCAGCACTTGGGTATCTGATCCGTAGCATCAGTGACTCCCACCCTTTGTCACCACAGCTGTGGTTATGACTGTCCTTTCCTGTTCCTGAGCCCCACGTGCGCGTTGCCATCTCCTGAGCAGCGTCCTTGGGGGACTGAGCTGTAGCCGAACTCCTAAAGACCGCCCCGGTTCTGACTCACGTCTTTCTTGTCATGTTTCTTATCCAGATTTGGAACCTGGCTTCAAACAAACTCACATTTTTAAACTCCTATAAGATGAAGATGTCAGTCATCCTGGGCATCATTCAGATGACTTTTGGTGTTATTCTCAGCCTCTTCAATCACATGTGAGTTTCTCTTAAAAGGAAAAAAAAGATTTATTTTTAAGTGTGTGTACATGTGTATGTGTGCTTGATTGTGGGTATGTGCATGTGAGTGCAGACTCAGATCTCTAAGCTGAAGTTACTGGTGATTGTGAGCTGCTTAGGTTCCAGGAACCAAATTTGCGTCCTCTGCAAGAACACAAGGACTCTTAACTAATGAGCCATCTCCCACCCTACATGCGAACTTCTTGATTCACCCTCTGCTTGCCCGTCTGATGGCACTGAGGAGGAAGAGGCAGGGCCACCAGTGAGCCTTGTGTGCCAGGTCGCTTCCCTGTGGGTCTTGGCTTGAGCTGAGACAGACTGGTTGGCCAGAATCAGGAGCATCTCTGTTTCTGCCATGCAGAGTCTGTTGACATAAATGTGTGTTTTCTGCCTGGGAAATTCCTTAGGGCTCATGAGGGTGCTGGGAAGCTCACTCATGGCAGCTTGTGTTCCTCTTGCCTGGAAGGAAAGGTTGGTATAGTAGCCAGCTCATTCTCCACCCAGTGGGCCAGGGAGGACCTGTATGAATGTTGGCCAAGGTGCTCCCAATCCTGGATCATCCTGGGTGTCCTTTCTCCTGGCTGGCAGCAGCCTCTCTCCCTCTTGCCTGTCCATGTCGGCAGCCTGTTCCTTTCCTCTGTCAACATCCATCACTGGAAAGCTTCTTAAACTTACTGATGCTATCACATGCTTACTCAGTGTGCCTTTTGAACATGGCGGCTGACTTCAAGTGCCCAGAAATCCCACTTGCTACTTAGGCTAGGAGTAAGTGGGGCATTGGGACTCACAGAAACGATGGAGAGCTTGTGATCAGTCACTTTAAGTCTCAACCTCAGCTCCTAGTGAAGGTGATCATAGCCTCAATGCCTGACATTGCTGAGATTGTTAACATGGTAAACAAAATAGAATGGGGGCTGGGAATGTAGCTCAGTTGGTAGAGTGCCTGCCTGGAATGCACAAAGCCCTGGGTTCAGTCTCCAATACTGCATACAGTGGATGTGGTGGTAGTGCACACCTGTGATCCCTGCACTTGGATGGAGGCAGAAAAACCAGAAGTTCAAGGTCTAGCTACATAGCAAGTCCAAGGCCAGCTTGGTCTTTGGGAGAGCCTGTCTAAAAAAGAAAGGAGCAAGTAAAGAAAGAAAGGGAGATGAAGAGAATGGGAATACATAACCAGAATGGGTTACAGGAAAATGAACAACTCCAAACTCAATGGCTTAAGACCATGAATCATAGCAGCAGGGCCACATGGGTCCCATGTCTGTCATCCTTCCACCCAGGGGACTTAGAGGATGGGTGGACACTCCTGGACCCCTGCATGTACCATGGCAGAGAAAAGGTAGAGAGTTCTCGTTGAGTCCTAAAGCTTCTCCCCAAAGTGGCAGGGGGCTATTTCTGGTCCCATTTTGTTGGCAAGAACCAGTTGTGGGGGTGACCTTAAACTTGAGGCCATAGAAGTAGTTCTACTTGGAAAACCGAGGATGTTGTGCGCTGTGGAAAGTGTTGTGAGAGAGAAGCTGAAGATGTGTGGGAAGGGCTTCCCAGCTGATGGTCACTGGCCTCCTTATGCACCAGGGCTTTTTCTGACAGTCCATCTCTAGAGCTCCCTCTTAGCCTGGTAGGGCTCTGTCTTAGGGCAAAAGGCTGTGAACTTTCTATTACTCTATCTTGGCACCATGTCTTGAGAGGATTTTTTACTTTTATGGAATTTCAGGATCATAAAATAGTCCCCTTTTTTCCTTTTCTTGAGGTACTAGGAATTGAACATAGAGCCTCACACAGGCTAGATATCTTGGGCACTGTTCTATTGCTGTGAAGAGACACTATGACCAAGGCAACTCTTATAAAAGAAAGCATTTAATCGGGGACTTGCTTATAGTTTTAGAGGGTTCGTCCATTATCATCATGGTGGGAAGCATGGCAGCAGGCAGGCAGACATGGTGCTGGAGCAGTATCTGAGAGCTTTACATCCTGATCTGCAGGCAGAGAGAGATGAGAGACAGACAGACAGAGGTCTGGTGTGGGCTTTTAAAACCTCAAAGCCACCTAATGACACACTTCCTCCTACAAGGCCACACCTATTCCCAACAAGGCAATACCTCCTAATCTTTCTAATCCTTCTTAAACAGTCCATCAACTCAAGACTAAGTGTGCAAATATATGAGCCTTTGGGAGCTTTTCTCATTCAAACCACCACAGGAGGCAAGCATTCTATTACTGAGCCACAGCCTCAGCCTTCCTCTTTTTAAAGGTAGGGTCTCATGTAGCCCAGGCTGACCTTGAACTCGGTATATATACAAAGATGGCTTGATTTCCTGGTTCCACTCCCCAGGTTCTGGGATTATAGGCATGAACCATTATGCCCATTTTTTTTTTTAAATTTTTAGTTTTGAGACAGGGAGGGTCTCATTAAGTTGTGTAGGTTGCCTTGTGACTCACTGTGTACCCCAGGCAGTGCAAAAACTTGTGATTCTCCTGCCTCAGCCTTTTGAGTGTCTGTGATTACAGATCTGTGCTACCAGACACAGTGTTTAATGTTCTTCTACCCAACCATGAAAAGGTGAGAACCATTGAGTTGACAGAGAGAGAGAGAGAGAGAGAGAGAGAGAGAGAGAGAGAGAGAGAGAGAGATTACATGTGTACATGTGTGTGTGCCAGAAAATGGTGTTGAACTCCTGGAACTCAAGTTAAAGATGACTGTGAACCACCTGATGTGGCTGCTGGGAATCAAACTTGGGTCCTCTGGAAGAGCAGAAAGTATTTTTAATCACTGAGACACCTCTCCAGCCCCATATTAGAATCACTCTTAATCTCCAGGCTCCATCTGGTCCACAGGCTGTAGATTGGCAGCACCCGTCTTAGTATATAAGTATCAGAAAAGCTTCCAAATGTCTATTACTGCTTCATTTCGCCTTCAAAGGTGTCTTGGGAGTGAAATCTTCATGAGAAGCTGTGGCCAGATCACCAGACAGTACTTTCTAGACCTAGGTTCCCTAAACCTGTGCAAGCAAAAACACTCTCCAGGTATTCCCCTTCTCTTTTCTTTCCTCTCCATACACGTTTGTGCTTGCCAGGGGAGCACAGCATTTGCCAGCAGCTCAAGAAGGGAATAAATAAACACTGTGTGCCTGGGGAGTGCTTGAGCACTAACATTCTGTTAATGTTCTGTCTTACATGTGTGTTTTCCGCCCCTAGTTACTTCAGAAGAACCCTCAACATCATTCTGCAGTTCATCCCCGAGATGATTTTTATGCTGAGCCTGTTTGGATACCTGGTTTTCATGATCATTTTCAAGTGGTGCCGGTACGATGCCCACACATCCCAGAAGGCTCCCAGCATCCTCATCCACTTCATCAGCATGTTTTTGTTTGACTACGATGATTCCAATGCACCCCTGTACAGCCATCAGGTAGCTCTGCTTTGAAAACCCCTCCTCTGACCCACTGGGTTTTGTAAGATCTCTCTCATGCTCTTTGAGGACTGAAGAGAGTAGTTCTTTGTGAGACTAAGCCATCTCAGCACTCAGGGAAGAACATTACGTTCTTAAGTAAAGGGACAGGCACAGACAGCCGTTACGAGGCTCTCACTCATCCTGCTGGGGTCCCCATGCACAAGGGACGTTATTGTTCAGTTGAAAATTATCTAGGAAAAGAGGGAAAAAGAACCTGCAGATGGATTGGCTTGCGTGGGAAAATGCTCCAGTTTAAGCTTTGAATGTTAAAGATTGAAAATCCTTGGACTGGCAAGATAGCTCAGCAGCAGGTCCGTGTTTGCTGCCATCCTGGTGATGGAGTTCAGTTTCCGGGACCCACACAGTGGAAGGCATGAATCAACTTCTGCAAGTTGTCCTCTGACCTCCACATGCACACAAAATAAGTATGTAAGTCAATAAAAAAAAAACAACCTAAAAATCTCACATGGGAGGCAGAGACAGGTAAATCTCTGTGAGTTCGAGGCCAGCCTGGTCTACAGAGTGAGTTCCAGGACAGCTAGGGCTGTGACACAGAGAAATCTTGTCTTGAAAAAAACAAACAACAAAAACAAAAATTCTAGCTAAGGCTCACATGAAAGGAAATACAAATAAAACCAAGAACCAAAGTTCCGCTGTTTCCAGGAGGGATGGGTTTCTGGAAACTGGACCAGGCTCTTGCTAGCCTGTGGTTCTCAAAGTCAGCCGGAACTTAACCCCACTTTCTGTTCGCCCATGGCTGGTATGTCCCAACAGCTGGACTTGGCTCCCACTCCGGTCTTTCCCATTTCCTTCAGCCAAGAACAGCTGTCCCTGAGTCCCTGCAGGGGATTGCTCCAGGACACAGAAAACCCCTGTAGATCCCCAAACCCACAGACGCTCGGATCTCCTGTACAAAGTGGTACAGTGTTAGTGTAGAGACTATCTAACAGGCCCTCTCCCCCTGCCCCGCCCCGCCCCCCCTCCCCATGTGCCACGTTCTTTAACTACTCTCTGGATTGCTTAGGCACCCAGCACCATCAAGTGCTATGTAAACTGCTGTCGTACAAGTTCTAGGGAAATAATGACTAGGAAAAGGGTCTGATGTGTTCAGTACAGTTTCTTTTAGTATTTTTTTTTGATGGGCTGGATATGCAGATGTGGATCTTGCAGAGATGGTCGAGTGTATCTTACTATTTCCAGTGTGTTTAAATATATGCATTTGTTAGGGGTCTTAGGAGGTGTTTAGGTGAACATACAAAGTCATGGGTTTGCTCACAGCATCCTCACACATACGTCATTGTACTGGGTTCTCGTTTGCCCTCCCCCCTCACTGCCCGCCTCCAGCCTGTCCCTTCCTGCTCCCCATACAGTGTATTTCATCTGGAAACAATAGAAATGCCCCCTTGGAACTGGATGTGAAATGAACTCAGTGAATCATTCTTGTCCAACACAAACGATTCTTTTACCCTAGCCTCACCTAGCAGGTTTTTTATGAATGGAAGATCCACTTCTGTCCTAATTCGCTGGACAGAGCTCTGTGGCTAGGATCACACAGGTAGCTCTTCCATGGAAACGTCCTCTGCCAGGGACTGCACACACTGGATTCCGGGCTGACTTTTTCCCCTGGCTCCTAGCTGTGTTCCCTTCCTTCCAGAGGCATCAGACAAGAGGAAAACATGCCGCCCGACAAGGCTTTTGTAAGCGATGGTTTTAGATAATGATCAGAGAGGAACCATACTTCAGAGGGCCCTTTTGTGTCGGACTTGTTAAACACACAGGACAACCTAGGGCTGGCCCCACAGTGCTGGCACAGAGTGAGTGTGTTTTAAAGGTTCATTTGCTCCGTGCTGGCATCAGAGTGAACGTTTATTTGGATTTCCCAAACAAACCCTTTCTTGTAGGCGGCAGCCCTAGAGTAACCTAGTATTTGCTGTGTAACTACCTGTAGAGAGGCCCTGGGGGGCTTCACTGCCTCTGGAAGAGGCACCCGGCATTGCCGTGAGTGAGCGGCTTTCCAGCGTCTTGTTGTATTAATAAACACTGCAGAGAACTGGCTGCTTTCCCTACAGCTTGCTATGAAGATTAATTATGTTGACATGGTTTGGGATTTCCATAACCTCAGTCTGGGGTCGCGTGGTTAGAGGAAATGGCCGACACTAAAGTCTCCTCAGCTTTGCTCTGGCTGTCTTTGCGTAGAAGCACATACCGGTGCTTTGTCTGTCATCCAGGGGCGGCAGGTCTGGTTGTAAAAACGGACACGTGGCAGTGAGCACCTTCCTGTGCAGGGGCTTCATTTGGTCAGTACAGGGCGGGCGCACATGCCCTTCCCTCTTTTGAGCTTGTAAAACTGTAAGAGTTGAGCAGGTCAAGTGTTCCCGCTGGGAAAATGTCTTCCTGCTGTTGCTCACAGACCATCTCCTGACATGGATCTTGAGCTGGCAAGAGCAGGTGAGGAAACAGGAAGGCCCACAAGCTGTATTTCCTCAGCCTGTGAGCAGTTTCCTGTCCTTGTCGCACCCCCCCCCCCAGCAGCTTTCCACAGTGTAGCTGACTCACCCCTCAGAGCTGGGAAATGTGGATGAGGAGTGTGTCAGATAAGAAGTGAGGAGGGACCTGGAAGGAAACGTGAAGCTGGGTGTTCCTCTTGGGTCTCAGCAGCGGTCAAGTGGGGAACCCTGAGAAGCTGGTTCTGAGTACATAGTGGATATCCCAACCCATGAGGGGACTTGAGGCGGAAAGTCAGGTAGACGGTGTGGGAACTCCTGGCTTCTTTCTTGAAGTGGCGAGGGGTAGAGGGAGGGAGGGAGAATGAGAGAGAGCTCCAACAATTACCTCACACTGGAAATAGTAATTACTGATTTAATATAAAATGACCCAAAGGTTGGTTCCGGTAGAGAGATGGCTGGAATCATGTGACCTGCCAAATTTTCTTCTGGAACTAGAGTAACTGTGTCCCTGGAGCAGCTAAGGGGTGAGAGAAGCATGGTAGTGTCTCAGGACTTCTTGTTTTGAAGACTCCGTGTGGTGTGAGAGTGTCACAAAGGACTGCATAGCACATACGCAGCACAGAAGTGGGCACAGAGCACCACAGGATAGCCATTTCTCTGTCCACACGAGGCGTGTGGCGGAAGTGAGGGTGACCAGAAGCGGAATGCTTTGGATTACTCAGAGGGTCGCTGAAGTGCCTGCCTTCTCCTCTGAGTGTGGAAAGCCCCATTATGCATGGGAAGAATACTTTATGGCCATCTTAGTGACTGGTACCAATTTTGATTTTTGCAGCAAGAAGTCCAAACTTTCTTTGTCATTATAGCGTTGGTCTCTGTGCCGTGGATGCTCCTGATTAAGCCATTTATTCTCAGAGCCCAACACCAGAAATCTCAGGTAAGCGTTGCCTTTTAGTCTGCTCCCTGTGGGTCACAGCACACTTTCCTAGAAATGGAAGTCTGGGGTGGGGAGAGAGCAGTGGGCTCCCCTGTGAGGCCTGGGGAGGTCTGGAGGGCAGGGCTGGACCCAAGTGTGTGTCCTTCAGTAGAGTCCCACCGGGACCCCTTCCTTCCTACACAGTGATCCTCCGTTTCTCAAACACAGTAAGTCTGAAGTTCCTCACACTCTGTTCAGGGTGTGTGTGTCACATCTGGTTGGCACTGAAGATTTTATATATATAAGCATCTGGACTTGGTTGTTTTATTGGTTAGACACGGGAATGGGGGGTGGTGGTTACATTTATATTTTGTTTTTTAAAAACAGAGTCTCACTATATCACCTTGGCTGGTCTTGCATTGGTTATGTAGCCCAGGCTAGCCTAACTCAAAGCAGTCCTCTTGCCTCTGCCTCTCAGTGCTAGGATTACAGGCATACACCGCCATGCCCCCCAGATAATTCTATGTTTAAAATGAATATTAAAGTTATTCTTAGTGAATTTTCTAAGGTTGTGATTTTACTCCCTTAGAATGTTGGTATAGGCTATCATAGGATAGGCACATTCAAAAATCCAGTTTTAATTTATGAATAACTTCCTCCTATTGCCAAATATCAGTTTCAGTTGATTTCTTTTCCTTCCTTCCTTCCTTCCTTCCTTCCTTCCTTCCTTCCTTCCTTCCTTCCTTCCTTCCTTCCTTCCTTCTTCTTCCTTCTCTTTCTTTCTTTCTTTCTTTCTTTCTTTCTTTCTTTCTTTCTTTCTTTCTTTCTTTCTTTCTTTCTTTCTTTCTTTCTTATCCTTCCTTCTTTCTTTCCTTCCTTTCTCTTCCTTCCTTCCTCCCTCCCTTCCTTCCTTCCTTCCTTCCTTCCTTCCTTCCTTCCTTCCTTCCTTCCTTCCTTCATTCCTTTCCTTTTTTCTTTTCTAAATTGCCTTGAGCCTCATTTACACAGGGAACATAGTAACCTAAAGCAAACAGGGCCTAGGGAGATGAACCCCTCCCAGGGACCCTTGGGTCCAGCTATACTGAGATGGCTCCCTGCTTTCTTCTGTTAGATAGAAGATACAGCGGATTGTATTGAGATGGCAAATGCTTTAAATGGCTGTAGGCATTAAACTCTACTTTTCTAAAATGTAAGGTGGATATTAACCTCACCTGGCATTCCTATGGGGGCTGGAGAAAGAGAATGACATAATAAAAAAGCCAAAACAATTACAACATGAGAGATGGATCCATAACTACCTTGAAGGGGGCCTTTATCTTGTTAATACTTTAACAACCCGGAGGCCAAGTGGAACACTGTCTTGGTCTCCTTGCTTGCCCACAGCTGCAGTCTTTCACAATCCACGAGGATGACATTGAAGGTGGCCACTCAAGCACCTCTGCTCAGAAGAAGACCTCAGGCGCCCACGGGACTAAGGATGGCCACGAGGAGGAGGTATCTGAGACAAGAGCACCAAAGGCCGACTTCTCAGTTTGTGCAGAGTCTAGAATTGGGATCTGATCTTTCCGGTCACGAGGGTGTGGGATGAACTCAGGGATGAGCTGGAGGGTCTGCTGCTGTCAGTCTTGTGGCTCCTGAATCAGCAGGTTCAAGAACGCCCAGGGCGGGCATTGGTGGCACACGCCTTTAATCCCAGCACTCAGAATTCTTGACTCTTGCTGGCAAGGGCCATCAGCCTTCAACTAGATTCTTGGGTGAGGGACCCCTCTCCCATGTCTCCATAACTTCCCCTTTCTATCCCACCCCACGGAGACTATGGCTAATGGTAATCTATGATACAGTTTGTAACTAACTTGGAAGACAGAAGCTCAAAGCCTCCAATTACCCTGATATGATGAGTATTTATTACATACATGCATTGAGATATATTGTGCCCCATAAATATGTAGTTATTACTGTAATGAAAATGGAAATTAACATTCTCACTCTAAAAGGGAGAGAGAAGGGAGAAAAAGAACTTAATGAAGTAAGACAGAAAATGCTCTGTTACAGTTCAACTTTGGAGACATCTTTGTCCACCAGGCCATCCATACCATTGAGTACTGTCTAGGCTGTATCTCCAACACAGCCTCGTACCTTCGGCTCTGGGCCCTCAGCTTGGCTCATGCAGGTGAGTGTGCAACCCAGGAGAGTCAAGGCCAGCAATCATCACCCCGAGAACAGGCTTATTCTACTCATGAGCAAGAGTGCTTTCTTAGGGTCATTTGTAGTATGTTTGCCAGATAATGACTATTTAATGTTTTTCTTGGGTGTCTTTCTGAAGATCCTTAAGCAACTGACGATAATTTCCCATGCTTCTGAATTTACATGAACAGAATCTTAACATGAGCCTGGCATGACAAAATGCCACAGACCGGGTGGCTCCAGCCATAAGCAGATTTTTTTTTTTCTCATAGTTCCAGAGGGTGGAAGTTTGGGATGAGAGTGCCAGTATGGGGGGCTCGGGTGGAAGGCCACTTTCCAACACCTCCACTCAGAAGGGCGAGGGAGGGAGAGCTGGAACTTGAGAGTGAATACGCCCTTAAATTCCCTAATCCCATGGCAAAGGGACCCCTCTCATATTTCTAATCACCCCCCTCTAAGACCCCAGGGAGGGCTACAAACGAACCAGGCTTCCCGCATTCTTTTAGGTTTCGCATTTTTGTGCCTATCTCATGTTATTCAGGTTTGATTCCTTTTGCTGCTGTTGATAGCTCTAGTTGGGAACTTTCCCTGGTGATCAGTGTGCCACAGAGTATCTGTCTGTGTCCTCTTGTTGGAAGGCCCCGCACTCTGATCGAAGCCAGCTCCTGCGTGGCCCTCAGAGGGGCTTTTGCATTTGAGGTGATGGAGGAAAACGATGGGTACATACAAACCTGGTGGCTGAGGATGTCCCACTTGCTCCCACAGAGCTGTCCGAGGTGCTCTGGACCATGGTGATGAACATCGGCCTCCGCCTTCGGGGCTGGGGAGGGCTCATTGGGGTCTTCATCATCTTTGCCGTCTTCGCCGTCCTGACGGTCGCCATCCTCCTCATCATGGAGGGGCTCTCGGCCTTTCTGCATGCCCTCCGGCTGCATTGGTAAGCCTGCTTGTCCCTTAGGAGCTTGGGGGAAGGGCAGGCTGCAGGGTTGGCTGACTGACCAGAGTCACACCTTGGCTACATTTTTGGAACCTCAGTTTAGTCATCTGTTTATGTGATGTGCATGATGTAACGTATGTTCACGTGCACGCAGCTATGCTGGCTGCCCCGCCATGTAGCTTTCATTTGCTCTGTGCTGACTTGTTAGTACAGTTGGCTTCCAAAGACGTGCGGGGACAGATCTGGAACAGGCTTATGGAGAGCATGTTGGTGAACAGGCGTGCTTGGCTGTGTGGCTGCTGAGGGCAGGAGTGGCGTCAGGAGAACAAGCCACTGAACTCTACAGAGGAAACGGGGAGTGCCACAGCATGCCCTTCACATCCTCAGCACACACTGGGGGCGCCGCTCTTAGGAAACTAGATTTTTTTTTTTCATTTTATGTGTATGAGTGCTTGGCCTGCATGTGTCTATACTCCTTGTGTGTGCAGTGCCTGTGGAGGTCAGAAGAGGGCATGAAATCTCCTGGGATTGGAGTTATACATACCTGTGAGCTGACATGTGGGTGCTGGGAATCGAACCCAGGTCCTCCGGAAGAGCGGTCGGGGCTCTTAAATGCTGAGCCATCTCTCTAGCCTTAGGAAACATTTTTATGTTTGCATATTGAGTGGAGGAGACTGCATCGTCCCCTGTCTCCATGCTAACATTTCCCTCCACTGCATGAAGCATGTGCCTCTGTAACATCACAGAACATGACCATGGGTGAAATTGGTTATAAGATGATTTTCGAACATACAGGCCAAGCTCCTGCTGTCCTAACCGGGACTCCACAACTGGGAGTCAGGGTGCACATGGGAAGGCACGCACAACCTCATGATGAGCGGTCGCCTCATGCGCTGCGATTATCAGATAGTGCATGGAGGGGAGGCATCCTTGCTTGGGTGGAGGCTGTGGACGTTCCTAACGTGGGGGAGGTGTGTGCTGTGGCCCGTGAAGCTTGAGGAAGAGAGGTGGGAGGAGGGGGCGTGGTAAGAGGGAGGCTTAAAAGGTCGCCTGGTTCCCATGCTGTTTTCTGCCAGCCCCTGACATTTCAATCTGCTTTTTTTTTTTTTTCCTTCCCCGTCACCACAGGGTGGAGTTCCAGAACAAGTTCTATGAGGGGGCTGGCTCCAAGTTCTCCCCATTCTCCTTCAAACACGTCCTGGAAGGGACCGAGGAATAGGCTGGTGCCACCTGAAGGAGTTCACTCTTGTCTCTGGTGTCCGCCCAGGCCAGGTGTCCCAGAAGCAGCCCTGTTGGCTCCCTGAAGTGTGAAGCTGTGTGAGGCATGGGATTCGGCAGGATTTAACCGCGTAACCGAGGGGCTGCTTTTTGCTTGATCAAATGCCAAAATAACTGGGAAACGGGAGTGGGCACTAGACCACTGTCTTGTAATAGTTTATTTTTGTTTTACTGTCTATCTGGTTTGAGACAAGGTCTCATGAGCTCTAACCATCCTGGAAATAGCTACGTAGCCAAGGATGGCTTTGAACTCCGGCTCCTCCTGCCTCCACTTTGTTGAGACGACAGGTACGGGCCACCACACCTGGATCCCCCGCAATATTTCAAGGATTAGAATCACGAAAATAAACGTCTGCTCTGTTCACTGTTTCCTTAAGATGTCTTTATTCAGAATTAATCCATGACATTTAGTATCTACAGTTAGAGGCCAGCACTGGACAATGGAGTTACACAACCTAATCCCGGGGAAGGATCAGGTTTATGTTTTTCTCCGCATTTCCCCCTGGTCAGGGGCTTAGCATTACAGCTTAGGGGCTTTCTCAAACATTGCCCGCCCCCCAGAAGCACAGCTAACGCCCTCTGGGTAGTGAGCGGGAGGCTCAGCCCTGGCCTGACTCTCGGCATCACTCAGTTCTGAGAAGTGAAATGTGACAACGTGACATCATTCCCGGGACACGGCTTGCTGTCACCACACACTGAGCTGGAGTGACCGCGGAAGGAGAGGCAGAGGCTTAGCCAGGTTCTGGAACCCAGTGTACGGGGAAGGAGACTACCACGTAGTCCAGTTCTTCACCCTCCCCAGAACCAGTTTCGTAGGGTGCCGGGACTGGTGATCCCCCAAGCACCCGAGGAGATTCGTCCCGTGGGCTGTTTGGTCTGAATGACCTGCATCCAGGTGAACTGCTGTCTCCGTCATGACTACAGGAGCGGGACTAAGAATAAGCCACATTTTTGTATGCTTCGCAATTGACTGTCCTTTCTACCTGGAGAGCGGATCAGATTCAAATGTGGTTGCGTGTATGTATGGGTGCAGGCACATGTATACCACGACGCACACGGGGATTAGAGGACGACTTCCCATGCCGTGTGTGCACCAGGCTAGCTGGTCTGTGAGCTCCCAGGGATGCTCCTATCTCCGACTCCCATCTTGCTGCAGGAGCAATGGGATCATAGAATCGCTCAGCGGTGCCTGGCTTTCACATAGCCCCTGGGGATTTGAACTCAGGTCCTTACGCTTGCTTGGCAAGCACTTTATTCACTGACCGTCTTCCCAGAGTTTGACTCTTATCTTTTAGATCCCACTTGCTGCCCTATACCCAGATTGACTAGTGTCGTTAAGAGCAATTCTCAACCCTAAAGGATGTGGTCGTGGCCCTTTCCTGTCTGGGTCACAGCCTGCCCGGCAATGTGAGGCCTGTCTTTTAAGGTGTTCGCTTATCAAGGTTGGATCAAAGGATGATGTTTGCATTCCAGCTGTGAGACTTCATCATGTGCATCACTGGACAAGAAGTGGAGACCTCCCCCCCCCCCCCCCCCCCCCCCCCCCCCGTCAAGTGCATAGGAGGCTGTCCACCTGGGGACTGTGGAAAAGAGATGGTAAGACCTGGCAGTGGTGGGGAGGGGGAGGCTCAGCCAATGAATGACAGCTGCCAGAAAGAATCGACCGGAAGTCCTATGAGAAGCCCCCCCCCACACACACACGACTCTGCTGCCATGATCGTCGGGGGGGAGTTGGGTTCTCAGCTTGCTGGTGTCCTGTTGGGCATCCATCTGAAGAATGCACCCCGCAGAGATGGCTCAGAGGCACCCCCCCCAGCTCTTCAGAAATGCCCTCCAGCCTGAGAGGGACACGCTGACACCCCCCAAGGTTTGGCAGCTGCCTCCTGTCTCGGGGAGCACTGCTCTTTTCTCGTTCACAAGGGATCAGGTGAGGGCTGTTTCCAAGGGGGTGTGCCCTCCATGTCACTCACCCAGAACGCCAGGTGGCCCCTTAATGAATCCTGTTTGGAGAACTGAGGTGAGAGGGAGGTAGGGGCAGGGGCCGGGCCTCTCTGGAAGGTAAGTCTAGAGGCAGAGAGGCCTCCGGAGCTGCCAGCCGGGCTGTGGCGAGACAGTGTACACATTTTCCAAGGAATACACAGGTGAGAAACTTTTGGCAACAGGTGTGTATCGGCTTTTACTGCTGCTGTTCAGGGGAGGGAGCCAGCTGCTCGTGTGTTGTTGGAGGCAAATGGAGTGTGAAACTTTCATTGTTTTGAAAACTTGTGCGTGTATTAAATATGTTAGTATGTTTGTGTATGTGTGTGCTGTATGCACATGTGTGTGCAGGTTTGTGCCCTCTGCATGTTCCCAGAAGCCAGAGGGGGACATGGAGTGTCAGGCTCTCGCTCTCCACCTATTCCCTTGAGACAGCCTCTCACTGAACCTGGAGCGAGGCTGGCAGCCAGCAAAACCCAATGGCTCTCGTGCCCTTGCACCCAGCCCTGGTGCTGATTACGGAGACCCACAGCCACACTGGCTTTTCATATGGGTTCTAGGAATTGGGATTTGAGGTCCTTATTCAAGTATTCTTCCAGCTTCTTAGTGATGACACTTTTAAAATAAATCATATCACACACATATAAGTCAGCATGGAAAAGATCTTCAGGGGCTCAATTATTTCTGGCTAAAAAAAATCTATACATCAAAATACAGTTGAATAAAGCATCACTCTGTCTGTTGGAAGTCTGATTACTCCAGGGCTCCCCTGGGCCTTTGAGAGGCAGCGTCAATCCTTAACCCATCCACATCCATCCACAGACACTTTCAGGTCGTTTGAAGGTGGGTCGTGTATTACACCCTCACTTCAGTGTCTGAGGAAGGGCTGGCTGAGGATGCTGAGTCGAAAGACCCAGTTCTTCTTGTTTCCCTGGGTTAGTGTGGTTCAGCTTTGTCCTGCGCTCCCTTTTCTCTTCTTCCTCATGAGAGCCCACCTAGCTGAGGAGTAATTGGCAGCTGCTGGGGGAGGGGGTTATTTAGTGCGCTACAAAGTCCATTTTATAATCGATTGCCACTACTTCATTCAAAATTATCAAGCAGGGACTGGCGAGATGGTTGTCAGTAAAGGGCTGGCCCACGTAAGCACGGGACCTGAGTTCAGATCCCCGGCACGTCTATAAAAAGCCAGGTGTGGTAGCATGTACTTGTAATTCCAGTGTTGTGTAGGCAGAAACAGAAGGAACTGTGGGGCTCACAGACTGGCCAGCCTAGCCTAATCTGTGAGCTCCAGGCCGAGGAAAGACCTTGTCTCAAGGGTGGTGGATGACATTCCTCATAACACCTGAGGTCGTCCTCTGCACCTGACTTGCACACAAATGCATAGGGAAAAAAGACGGCACACAAAATTCTCTGGCCTCTACATACCTGTGTGTGTGTGTGTGTGTGTGTGTGTGTGTGTGTGTTAGCCTTGGAGGCCAGAAGAGAGTGTCAGATCCTATGGAACTTGAGTTAGAGATGTTTGTGGACCACCGTGTAGGTGCTGGGAATTGAACCAGGTCCTCTGCAAGAGCAGTCAGTGCTCTTAACCTCTGAGCATCTCCCTAGCCCTCCTGTCTTTTCCTGAAGCTCACTGCCCCCCACACTGCCTGCCAGCGGGTAGCTGTCCTCCATGCCTGCTTATTCTCTCCCTTCTCCTGGCAGATGTGAGATTCACAGCTTGCCTGCCTGGCCTTCTCCTTCAACTCTAACAGATTGTCCTCAGGCTTCCAATTCAGTCCACGTGTGCCCCGAGCTTCTGTCTGCTTTATCTAGACAGGGTTTGTTTGTATGGTCCTGGTTGTCTCTCTGTGGACCAGGCCGGCCTTGAACACCGAACTCAGCGATCTGCCTGCCTCTGCATCCTGAGTGCTGGGATTGAATGTGTGTGCCACCACTGCCATCATTCTTTTTTGTGGCACCAAATGTGTCCTTTATAAGCAGAACTCACAGCGGGAGTAACCGGGGTTCTCAGCTTCTTCTCAGCAGGGCAGGGCATGCCAGGTGCAGGATCAACACTTCCTGTGAGCCAACTTGTTTGCCCCTCACACCAGCCTGAGAGTTAGGTGCAATTACCGTGTAATCCTCATTTTAGGAGTGAGGACAAGGAGGTTCAGAAGAAGATAAATTCCTCAAGCCAGGTGCCAAGACTGTGTGCGCATGTGTGGGTTCTTCGTTGTGCGTGTGCGTGTGCGTGTGCGTGTGCGTGTGTGTGTGTGTGTGTGTGTGTGTGTGTGTAGGTCAGAGGTCAACCTTAGGTGTCTATGCATGAATGTGCATATGTATGTATAAGCCAGGGGTCAACCTTGGGTGTGGTCCCTCAGAAATGCTGTCCACCTTCTTCTGAGGCGGGTTTCTCACGGGCATGGAACTCATAGGTTGGGCCAGGCTCGCTGGCCAAAGAGGCCCGGGAGTCTTCCTGTCTCCACACCAGCTTTTTTTATTTATTTTTTTAACCTGGCTTCTGTGTGTAGGAAAAGCTCCCCGTGTGTGCACAGCAGGCACTTTCCTGACTGAGCCACCTCCCAACTTCCCTCCTAGGACTTTGGGGGGGCTCAGGGCAATTTTACATGGAGTGCTCTTGCCGTCTATGGACTTTATAGGCCTTGTGTTCCCTCTCTGCCACTCGCCTTGGCTTCACTAGGGAAGCTGTGTGAGGAGCTGGAGTGACCTAGATGGCGGCCAAGCAGACAGAACCCGTGACCATCATTAGCCTTCGGAAGCTGAGCCAGGCAGCCCCAGAACCGCAGCAGAAAGGTAAGACCACCGTGGAAGGCCCGGCTTTCAAACCAGCGCTTAACATTGGTGTAAGAATGAGTTGGGGCCAACGCTGCAGGTCAGTTGGTGGCATGTTTGCCTATCCTGCATGAAATCCTAGGTTGATTCTCAGTACCACGTAAACTGGGTGTGGTGGTCCATGTCTGTAATCCCAACACTGGAGAGGGAGAGGCAGGGGGGTCAGGAGTCAAAGGTCACCCTCTGCTACATAGGAGTCTGAGGTCAGTCTACGTGGCACAAGACCCTAGTAAGTAATAACAATAATGTTGCATACACCTCCAAAGGTGAGCCACAATCCCCAGGGGTTCTCTTCCCACTCAAGTGGTCTCATATTCCGCCTTCCTTGTCAGAGACGAAGACATTCACTGTGGAGGATGCCGTGGAGACCATCGGGTTCGGACGCTTCCACATCGCACTCTTTCTCATCATGGGCAGCACCGGGGTGAGTGTTCATGGAGAGAGCCTTTCTACCTGTGGCACTGACCTCTCTGTTGGACACCAACTTTTCTGCTGGCCTCCACCACTGGACTGTCCCTTTTCCAGGGGGTAGGAGTCCTGTGGAAATCATTTCATCAGCCTTTGGCATGGGTTGGTTGGGAACACTCGAATGCATGTGTCTGTTCACATTGAGTTGCTGGGGAGAAGGGAAGAGGACCATGGAGTTACTTCACGTGGAGCAGACACATGGCTCTTGAGCATGTGTGCATTGGGGGTCACCTGGAACACCTGCCGTCGGGGAGAGTCTAGATCCCCTAAGAGGCTCAGTCAGTTCCTTCTACCAGTGGCGTGTGTATGCTAGGCATGGTGGAGGTACCTGTAATCCCAGCATTCACCAGGGAGATGATCAGGAGTTGATCTATGAGAAGATCAGGAGTTCAGGGTCATTGTCTGCTGTGCATTGAGTTTGAGGCCAGGTAGGGATACATGAGATCTGACTTCAATTCCTGGAACGCATGTAAAGGTGCAAGGAGAGAACTGCTTCCTCCACATGGACACTTATGGGTGCGCGCGCGCACGCACGCACGCACACACACACACACACACACACACACACACACACACACCATTTAGGGTTTTTTGTTTTGTTTTTTTAAGTTTTAGAAAGTGCTGGCGATATATCTCAGGGAAAGAGAGCTTCTCTAGCATGTGAAGTACCAGCAAGACCCTGGGATAAGTCCCCCCTCCTCCCCCCAGTACAAAGATCAAATCAGGTAAAATCTGATTCTTTTTTGTTATGCTGTCCTTGGTATGGTGGGCTTAGGTGATTCCAGTCCTAAATATTTAATTCTATAATAACTTTCACCAAATATTCACAAACCAAAAGCAGCAAATAATATTTGGATATAATTCTGCCACTTGAGAGGAAGAAGCAGGAAGATTAGGAGTTCAAGGCTAGCCTCTGCTACATTGAAAGTTCAATGCCAACCTGGGCTACTTGAGACAGTCTCAAAAACAAATAAATAAAAAACAACAGACAAAACCTGGGTGTCATGGCTTATGACTGCAATTGAAACACTTAGAAGGCTGAGGCAGGGGGATTACTGTGATGCTAGCCTAGGCTACAGAGTGAAATTTTCTCTAAAACACAAATAAAACAAAGACCAAAAATCAGAAAAAGAGTCGCACACACAGAGGCAGCCCACAGGTTCTGATGCGTCTTCCAGAGCTATGTGCGCTCTAAAGAGAGAAGTTGGGATAGAAAGGGGCATGTCAGAAGTATCATGCCCCGCCGTTCATGATAACACGCCATGCAATGCAAGACCCTTCCTTATCTGTAAGCGGAAGAGTCTTTCAGTCCACGTTTTCACAGTTCCACATTCGAGAGCCACGTAGATGTGATGTGTCAGGGTTTAACACCTTCTGTTTTTGGAGGGTTACTCCTAACTAGTGTATTTCCGTTGCTACTCTTTGGACATTCAGTCCTGATGGACATTGCCCAGCTGTTCTGTAGTACTAAGGAGGATGAGTTTCGTAATCCGAACATCTTTCTGAGATGGCCATGCCATCAGTCCTGTGCTGAAACATCCCGATGTCTGCACTCAGCACAGCTGCAATCCTCTAGAGGAGACAAGCCACACACTAACAAGACACCCCACAGCTTGGGGACCACTGCTCCTCCGTTTCCTGTCAGACCTCTGCGTTATTATAATAAACAAGCCTGTGACTGTCCCCGTGACTGTCCCCGTGACTGTCCTCGTGACTGTCCCCTGTGACTGTCCCCTATGACTGTCCCCTGTGACTGTTCCCTGTGACCGTCCCCGTGACTGTCCCCATGACCGTTCCCTATAACTGTCCCAGCAGCGCCGTCACCAGGATTAACCCCAGACAAATGGGTTCTCTTCCTTTAATTCTCCTCTCTCTCCTGGATGTCCTTGTCCTTCTCTGTGATGTTGGTGTTCATCCCGTCCAGCAGGTGCGAGCCCTCAGATTTGGCTGGGCACAGTGGTAGGTGCTGTAGTCCCAGCGACTCAGGAATCTGAGGTGGGAGGATCACCTGAGATTAAGAGTTCAAAGCCAGCCCTATCTTAAAAACAAACCTTAGGCCACGAGTACCTGAGTCCTCCCAGCAGTCATGAAAAAGCTGTATTTGGTGGTGACGGCACCTGCAATCCCTGCTGTGAGGAGGGGAAGAGATAGGAGGGTCCCTGGTGATGCTGGCCATCCAGTCAAGCCGAGTTGCTGAGCCGCAGGTTCAGTAAGAGACTTTGTCTAAAAAAATAAGGTTGGGCTAGAGGGCTGGCACTTGCTGCTCTGTGCATTGAGACGTAGGTTTGATTCCAGCACTCACATGGCAGCTCACCACCAGCTACAGCTCCAGTTCCGGGGGATCCAGTACCACCTTCTGGTTGCCATGACTCCTGAACACATGTGGTACACATGCATACACTCGGGTAAACACACACAGACACACACACACACACACACACTACTAAATACTAAAAATAAATAAGGTAGCGGTGACTCTCTTTGGAGGAGTCGTACCCACACTTGGGTATGTCTCTTTCTGCAACTCTCCCTTGAGAACCCAATCCTCAATCTCTGTTTCTTTTCCATAGCTCACCTGCTCCTGCTCATTCATTTCTGCTACCCACTTCCTTTCCCTGAGAGATCAACCCACCCTGAAACGGAGTGTAGGGATACGGACAAGAGTTAATGGTGCTGGTTAGTTTTTGCTAACTTGACTCAAACCTAGACACAGCTGGGAGGAGGAACCCTCATCTGAGGAACTGGCCCCATCAGATTGGCCGAAGGGTGGGTTTGGGGGGCATTTTCTTGGTTGCTGATGGATGCGAGGGTGGGTGGGTATACAGCCCACCGTGTGTGGTCCTAACCTTGGGTAAGTGAGCCTGGGCTGGTTAAGGAAGGTAGTTAAGCAAGGCTGTGAACAGCACTCCTCCATGGTCTCTGCTTCAGTATCCGGCCCCAGGTTCCTGCTCTGAGCTCCTGCCCTGCCTTCTGCCCATGAAGGACTACAACCTGTAGGTTAAAGAAACCCTTTCTCCCCCTCGCTGCTTTTGGTCCCGGTGTTTATCCCAGCAACATAGAGCAAACCAGACCACTGGTTGTCCAGTCTCTTCTCAAAGTACTCAGTAGCGCGTCCGACACCATCCATGGCGTAGACATTCTTCCCTGATAATAATAACGAGCTCGCGCCCATTGCTGCCTTTTCCAGCCTTCAGAAACCTCCCCATCTCCTTGAGACCCCAGCTTCCTGGTGTAGGAGCTATTTCAAAGCCTCACTGGCAAAGGTGTGTCCCACCCGCCTCATAACATGCCGTGGCTAGCCAGGCTCCTCCGCTAGCTAGGTGACTGGTCAGTGTTACTCAGCACACGCACGGGTCGGCAAGCCCAGGGAATATGCACCCTCACTCTTTAGGGATACTCCCAAGTTGCACAAACTGTTACATCTATGAGAGCTGAGGATTTATTACCAGAATCTACTTTCCTTTCATTCTGTTTTATTCAGTTTGGGGTTTCTCCGGTTACGGTCCTGATGTGAAGCCAGTGCTGGTCTCAAACCCACAATGCTCCTGCCTCAGTCTCCAGAGTAGTGGGACCACAGGTGTATGCTACTGTGCCTGGCTCTACTGTAGTGTTTTTGTTTGTTTGTTTGTTTTTTGTTTTTGTTTTTATCTAGGGGGAGGGGAAAGAGGACATTGGGACACTGGCTGACAGGCCTGTGTGGGGGTGACATGAGCTGGTTCACAGATGTGGTGTTGTTTCCCGCTTTCTCTTTAAGGTTGTGGAGGCCATGGAGATCATGCTCATAGCAGTTGTGTCTCCTGTCATCCGCTGTGAATGGCAGCTGGAGAACTGGCAGGTGGCATTTGTCACCACGGTGAGTACCTGCCGCCTGCGCTGTGTAAATGAACAACCTGATTTCCCTTCCAGTAAACCAAGAGCTGAGAGCCAGCCCTAGCCCCACCCAGAATGATGAGTGCTGGCCTCCAGAGCTCATGGGTTTCTAGACCCCAAGGTAGTTAGCATTCAATGCCTCTCTCTCTCTCCCCTCTCTCCCTCTCTTCCTCTAGTGAATAACCTTGAGTAGCCAAGCATTCCCAGCTGATGTTACCTCCCCAGGAATTCTAGAACAGCCTCACCTCCATGCACTGCCAGCCCCAGCCCCAGCTCTCTGCATCTGGTCCTCAACATCGGCCAAAACAAGATGCCCTCCCTGAAAAATACTTTGACTCAGGATGTGTCACAGTTTTCAGATTTGATTCCATGTCACAAAAAGCAACCTTATATACAGAATTCATGACTTCATAGTCATTATGTTTCTTATGAAATGGATATTGAAGTGTGCTTTCTATCTGCCGTATAGTTTGGCTAATATGTAAAGAGGGCATATTAAAAATGTGGGGGCCATGTTGCAGATGTGAGCAGCCACTGAAGGGCTTTAAAGAGGGCCATGATAGGGTGTTCCAAGAACTCTGGGAAATGTGGCTGAAGGGCCAGATACCATGGGTACAGTATCTGGTGGTGAATGGCAGTGCCTGGAGGTGAGGCCGTGTGTTCAGGAAATACTGAGGCAATAACATTAGCCTTGGAGGGCCAGAGAAGCACAGGGTAATGAGAAAAGAGTTGACTTACTCATCATTAAAACTGGATTAATGGAGACAACACCTAATAGAAAGACATTCCAGGGTGTGGCCAGACTGAGAGACTGTCTGGGAGACCAGAAAGTGGTGACCTGTAGCAGTCAGACAGAAGAGGCTTGGAGGGCATGAATCCATAAGACGGAGTTAACGTTAGGGTCTGAACGTGGTGGTGGAAACTTCCAGGAGTGTTCTCTCTGACCACCCCCTCCCCCGGCTTATATCCTTCTGAGCTTGCAAGGATCTGGACAAAGGAGCCACCCTTGCTTGGTGGGATGGTAGGGACAGATGGTTGCCTTTCCACTCACAGCCTTCTCTGAATTTTGCCTATGATTTTGATCTGTGCTGGACCCGCAATCTCTCCCTCCGAACTGCTCTGCATTCTCTTAATGTGTAGTAAGTTCAAAGCCTGCTTCTTTCTGTGCCTTGGGGGATGGAAGGCTTGGAGCCCGGATTTGTGTCCAGTCACAGCAGCACACCTGCCCTGTTCTGAGGAAGCACAGGTGTCCGGAGTGCTTAGACTAGAAGGTTGTCTGCTGCTTGTCTTTGAGACTAGAGCTCAGGTCGCCCTCTGTCTTTCATCCCCACCTCCCCAGTTCAGCCTCCTGAGAGCTGGGGTTACAGATGTGTGCCACTGCACTTGGCTGAATCACGTTTTATATTAAATAAAAGAGCAGGGCTCCACAGGGAGGGAAGGAGGAAGGGAAGGGAGGAGGGCAGGGCAGAAGTCAGTGTCCCTTTGCGATGTACTTTCCCAGCAGGGCTCCAGAAAGGCAGCTTCAGGGTTCACATGGGCTTTGAGTCAAGATTTCTGTCCCAGAAAGCAGAGAGCCCAGGGCACAAGTCATGCCTTTCAGAACTCAAGAATCTATGGGGTGAAAACTAAGATACTGATTTAAAAAATTAAAGAATATGCCCCCAAATGGGAAGACTCCATGCTTGTAGATTGATAGAATTAATGCTGTGGCTGTATTAATTAATGAAATGGCTGTATTGGTGAGGGCAGTCTGTAGAGTCAGTACAATCCCCATCAAAATTTCTATGATACTCTTTGAAGAACTAGAAAAAAAAAATCCTAAAACTAATGTGTAAACACAGAAGATTCCTTGTGGTCAAAGCAACTCTAAGCAGAAAGATCAATACAGATGTAATAACTGACTTCAGATTACAGTACAGAGCCCTCATGACAAACACAGCATGGTGTTGTCACAAAGTCAACATGTAGACCAAGAATGTTCAACCGGGGATCCAGACATAAACCCACACAGCAATGGCCACGCGGTTTTTGAGAAAGGTATCATAAACACCCACTGGGGAGCAGACAGCCTTTCTGCAGATGGTGCTGGGGAAACTGCGCATGCACACAAAGAAGGAGATTAGAACCACACCTCGCTTGTCACAAAAATCAATTCAAAATGGATCAGAGACCTTAATATAAAACCTGGAACATTGACATTGCTTGAGGGAAACAGGAAGAATACTTCAAGACATAGGAATAGGCAAGGGCTTCCGGAAAGACTCCAATAATACGGGATATAACCCCGCTGACACGTGGGATGATGTGAAATCAAAAAGTTTCTATGCAGCAGAGGAAGCGATCGGCAGAGTGGAGAGGCAGTTGACAGAAAGGGAGAAAATCCCTGCCAGCTCAGACGGGAGGCCAATGTCCAAAAACATGTAAAGAACAAAACAAAACAAAAAAAATCAGACACCAAGATCTTAACTCTCCCATCCAATAAGTGGTCTAGTGTGCTGAACAGACAGTTCTCAAAAGAAGAAACAGAACAGCCAACAAACATTTAAATCATTCAGCGTCCGTAGCCATCAGAGAAATGAAAGTTAAAACAACTTTGAGATTTCATCGTACACCAGCCACAGTGGCTGTCAGCAAGAAAACAGGTGACAACAAATGTTGGCAAAGACGTGGGGAAAAGGAAGCCCTTATTCACTCTGTAGCCACTATGGAAACCAGTATGGAGGTCTCAAAACAAAACAAAACAACAACCTAAACCAGAACTATTATATAGCCCAGCTATACCACTCCAGGGTATATACTCAAAGCACCCCTGGTCCAACTGCAGAGACAGTTGCATGTCCATGATTGCACTATGCACAATGGCTGGAGACAGAAGCATCCTAGACGTCCATCAACAGATGAATGCACAGGAAAATGTGGTGCATGTGCAAAACACAATTTTATTCAGCCTCAAGGAAGAAAGAATCATGGCATTGTGTGGAAACGTATGGAAGTGGAAATCATTAAGTTGAGCCAAGTATCCAGACACAGAAAGACAAACACAGTGTATTTTCTCTCATCTGTGGGTCTTAGATTCTAAGTTTTAAATAGGTGTTTAGGGTAGATATATGTCATGAAGCTAAGCTGAGGACTGTGAGAGGTCTTGGGAGTGTTGGGGAAGATAACGAAGGTGATAGAGTACATGTGACCGAGACAGCAGGAGAGGGGGACAAAGGGACCAGCAGGAAGCAGGGGGAGGAGGGAAAGGAGCAGGGAAGGAGGGATCATAAATGTTTGGGGCCAGAGAGATGACTCATCTGTTAAGAACACTCCTGCTCTTGCAGAAGACACAAGTTTGGGTTCCAGCACCCATGCTGGGCAGCTCACAACCTCCAGGGATCTGACCTTCTCTTCTGGGCTCCTTGGACAGCCACATGCACAACACACATACACATGTTTTTTTTTTTTTTTTTAAGTACATGAAAATGCTATAACAAAACCCATTGCATACAACTTGTGTGCTAATTAAAAATAATTTATAAAGGAGAATATATGGGGCCCTAAGGTCCCGGGTTGGATCTGCAGTATAGAAGTAGGGTGGGTAGTTGTGCATATATGATGGCTTTGAAAGAGTTCCTTGTGAGTCTGTCTTAGGAGGGGTAGGAAAGAAGAAAAGCAAAGCAGGCAGCAGAGAAAGCTGAGATTTTCCCTGAGATGAGGAAGCGAAGCTGGCATTGTGTCTCTGATTTCCTGGAGGCATCGGCCAGGAGGACTCCGGAGGAAAAGAGCAATCATCTGGAAGGCAGAGAAGTGGCTGCTAGCTGCACAGATGTGCACACACAGAGTCAGGGCTGAGTGAAGTGCTGGACAGGAGGGGGAAACTGGGCGGCTCCACCTTACAGTGTATAGTCCAGAGATTTCATTGTTTGTTTGTTTACAGAGACAGGGTCTCCATGTGTAAGTGCCAGCACTTATTTGCCAAACCAGGGTCTCCTGATATGGTTGGTGGGAATGAAAACCAGGCCGGGGTCAGAGGTCTCAGCAAGAATGAGGCAGAGACAAGTTTATTGCAAGCAATCAGACTTTTAAATACACTCTCAGAAACAGAATACACTGGGCAGTGGTGGTGCATACTTTTAATTCCAGCATTCAGGAAACAGAGGCAGGTGGATGTCTGTGAGTTCCAGGCCAGTCTGGTCTACAAAGTGAGATCCAGGACAACCAGGGCTACACAGAAAAACAGTCTGGAGGTGGGAGAAGAAAGAGAATACAATTGTAGCTGTCAGGATATAATGACGTTTGCTAGCTGTACAGGGTACTCAAGGTTAATGTCTGAGCCTAACAGTTCAGCCATGCTTCTATATGCTTTGCTGACTTCTAGGCAGTGCAGAGATACCAATGCTCCACTGCTTGAGGGGGTGCCTTCATTTCTCAGGAACTGAAAGGCACACAGTGCCCAGAAGCCATGAACTCTACCCTGAAGAACCCATGACTCATGCCTCTCAAGGCAGCTAGACCTGGCCAACTCCATGATTTCCTGCATCCATGTAGCCCAAGCTGGCCTCCAATACACTGTGCACCCAAAGATGACCTTAGATTTCTGACCCTCTTTCTCCCACCTCCGGAGTGTACCCAGAGTCCCCCAAAGACTGCCAAGAGACCACATTCGATGCAAAAGCAGAGTCTTTTTATAGTTGTGAGTTAACTCGGGCCTCTCCATCCATCTGATGCAGCAGCAGAGCAGGAGAGACCCTGAGTAGCAATCAAGCAGGGTTTTTTTTATAGTGGTTAGGGGATCTGGGGGAATTCCAGCTCTTCATAGTTACAAGCTCAGGATTGGTGTTCACCTCAGGTTAGTGAAGCTTGGTTTGAACTGATTGGAGAGCTGCAGCTGCAAGGAAATGGCCATCTCCTCCAGCAGTTTATGTCCTCACATCTATATCACCAGCAGACCCGTTTTCTCTCATAGTCAGACATCCTGTTTTTATCTGCAGGAAACTCATTCCCTATGACAGCTATGGTATACAATCTATAACAGCAGAAAACACCCCACAGGACATATCTGGTGCTTTGTTTATTATGCCAGTTATGTTATAGCACAGCCTTTAGATTACGGCAGGAAAAGTCTGGTGTGCAGCTCCTAATTGTCTAGGTCTGGGGCGAAGGGGCAGCACCTCTGGTGGATTTTTTTTTTTTTTTAGAACAGTTTGTCCAAGGGCCTGATGCCCCGTCTGACCCTTCTCTAAGATGGCTGCAACCCTGGCATCCTCTCAGAACCATCATGCCTGCTTTTATGTGGAGCTGGGGACGGAACACAGGTCTTTGCGCATACTAAGCAAACATCCTACCAAACTGAGCCCTGGCCCCAGGCCTTGCGAAGTTTTTCGGTGGATGGTTGGTTCAGTTGGTCATTTAAAGTTTGTGTTTGCTTGTGATAATATGAAGAGAGACTGCTTTAGGGGCAGCGGCTTGTGTGGGAACGGGGCATAGCAGCCATGACTAGATCTCAAATTAAAGTCACTACAACCAAAGTCACAGCTTCAGTCTGGGCACAGCACGGAGGCCAGGGAATGGGGGAGGAAAGCAGTTCCCCCTCTGTGGACCCGTCTCTACCTGGGCCGTGTTGGGAAGGTATGTTTGTACAAGAAGTGTAGAGAGACACCAATCTCAGGAACCTGCCTGGGCTCCCTGAGCCCCGGGGTGCTTTGGGAAGCCCCTCTCCAGCCTAATTTTAGCTAGGAAGGCTATATACTTAACATAGTCAGTGCACATCTTAAATGGCGTGTTCTGCTTAGAGCACTGTTTGTCTTCATCCCGACTCTAGATGGTGTTCTTTGGCTACATGGTGTCCAGCATCCTCTTTGGTCTCCTGGCTGACAGATATGGCCGCTGGAAGGTAGGTCAGGCCATGTGGAATTCACTCCCCCCTCCCCCACTCCCTCCCCCACTCCCATCCCCCCTCCCCATCCCCCACCCCCATCCCCCACCAGCACTCTTTTGGGCACTGTCCAGTCCCTCCCTCTCAAGCACTTGCCCCATGTCAACTCCTCTCACCTCAAAGGGGATACGAGATAGCTTATTCGGAAGTCACACACAAGTGACTGTGGCCCACGGAAGCACAGATTCAGGGTACCACAATTACCACATTTTACCACAAAAACAACACTTGACACAAGCTGGAGTCATCAGAGAGGAGGAAGCCTCAGGTGAGAAAATGCCTCCATAAGATCCAGCTGTAAGCAAGCCTGTGAGGCATTTTTTTTAATTAGTGACTGATGGGGGAGGGCCCAGCCCATTGTGGGTGGTGAAATTGCTGGGGTTGGTGATCCTGAGTTCTTTAAGAGAGCAGGCAAGCAAGCCGATAAACAGCACTGCTCCGTGGCCTCTGCATCAGCCCCTGCCTCCAGGATCCTGCCCTGTTTAGTTCCTGTCCTGACTTCCTTCAGTGATGAGCAGTGCTGTGGAAGTATAAAACCCTTTGCTCCCCCACATTGCTTTTGGTCATGGTGTTTCATCACGGCAATAGTAGCCCTAACTAAGACAATGTTCCAACTTAGTCTTGCTATTTAATATCACATACATGGGTTGGGGACATTAGATTTGGTGGCTTGCGGCAAAGCAGGGGAATCGGCTATAGGGCTCACTCAGGTGCTATCTGATGACATTCTTAGCTTGTGGACAGTGAAAGCTAGTCTTGTGTTAGTTAATGTACTCCTAAGGTTTTACCTTATAATCGCTAGGACGCTGGATCAGATACAGGGGTGGATGACGATGGCTATTCAGAGAGCCGAGGATAACCTGAGGATAACCGGGCTCTGGCTCTGCACTAGTCAGGCTTTCTAAAGTCACCGGTCTCCTCAGTCTCTGGTTTTGTGGAAACGTCGTCAGTGTAGCTGCGGTGTTTCCCGGGAACTTTAGTCCCCACTATGAACCTCTAGTTTTCTTGTAAATAAGAAAAGGCTGTGCGTTAAGTTTGCTTCTTTTACTCTTTCCAATCCCAGGCCTCCCCGTGCTCCCAACAGCCCTGGAGGAGGGAGGGCGGGCCTTTGCTTTTTGTTACCTTGGAGGGTGGACACACTAGACACTTTCAAACAGGAGAATGGCCTGGACCATGCCAGTGAAGACTGAGAGCCCTGGGTGCTGTGGCTCAGCTTCCAGGGAGGCCGAGGTCGGACAGAGGAAACACTCACCTCAGAAGGGATCAGAGACTCCCTTACTCCCCAGGCAGGTCCTGGTAACACGCTCTCTTTCTTTGCTTCAGATTTTGCTGCTCTCGTTCCTGTGGGGAGCCTACTTCTCCTTATTGACCTCTTTCTCCCCATCCTACATCTGGTTTGTCTTTCTGAGGACCATGGTAGGCTGTGGAGTGTCTGGCCATGCACAAGGGTAAGACTTAATCCAGAGAGTCTGTGGGAGAGAAATGTGGATGCCCCAGGTTCACACATACACACATACACACACACACACACATGAGAGAGAGAGAGAGAGAGAGAGAGAGAGAGAGAGAGAGAGAGAGAGAGAAGAGATAGATACAGAAACAGATGCACACAGCCACAGACAGATAGCCACAGAGACACATAGAGAAAGACAGACAGACAGACAGACACACACACACACACACACAAACACGCACGCGCAAAATTAAAAATAAAATTGGAAATAGAAAAATACTTGGATTGAAAAACAACAACAACAAAACCCACACCAGAAAGAAATCCTGAAATAGAATTAATGCGTCTGCCTGTCTCCTGCCTCTAGGTAAATGCACAGGGTCTCAATGTTTGGGTGGAGAGTTGCTGTGTTAATGTCCCAGTTTGGGGCCAACTGGAAATTCACAGGGCCCCTCAGGCTATTCCCTCCGGGGTACCTTGAGGCACTCTCTCCTTCAATTACGTTAGGAGATGTCAAAGCATCTGGCATTGCCTTAATGTGCTGCAGACAGACTCGCTCCTCCCTGGGGCGTTAGCTGTGTCTCTCTGCGCTGAGAGCCTGATGGGAGTAGATGCTGAGAGAGCTTTAAGATCTCCTGCAAGAAACAGTCCGATAAATGTGTTAAAGAAATAAGAAGGAAACCCAGTCCTGGCTAACATGCTAAAACTGACGGAATTTCGCTCCGTTTATTCTTCTATTTAAAAATCACTACGTACTTCATTGGGAACTGTGCCGTGGCTGTCATCAGTGACCGTCTTTGCCTTCCCTGGGGTGTATTTTGATTTCTCAAAAGGGGAATAGATTTGATGAAACCATTTTCCAAAGCTTCTCTTGGCCCAAGCGATAAGGCCAATGTCCCTGTGTGACAGAGTTTAAAATGACTGTCAGAGCAAGTGACTGGAGAGGAGCGGTTGCAAACTCAGGTCTCGCTGCTTGCTGATGTGAACAGTCACTGTGACAATCATAGCTTGATAGATGACGAACTCTTCTAATTAAAAAATTAAATAATAAGATGTATGTAGTAAATAAGTACATAAATCATTTTTAGATTTACTTTGTGTGTATGAGTGCTTTGCTGCATGTATGTGCGTACGCGTACCCTGGGAGTGCCTGGTGTCCACAGAGCTTAGAAAAGGGTGTCACATCCCCTGGGACTGGAATTATGGACGATTGTGAGTACTATGTGGGTTCTGAGAACCAAACCCAGGTCCCATGCAAGAGCCTCAAGTGTCCTTAACTGCTGAGCCATCGCTCAAGCCTCCCTTTATGCTTACAACGTCTTGATTGAGGTGAAAATGTATGATTGTTTAAAGGCGAATCGTTTGGTTTTCTAAAAACAAAATTACTGTGTTTCCTCACTCCCTGTTCAGGTTAATCATAAAGACTGAATTTTTGCCCACAAAATACCGAGGCTACATGCTGCCCTTGTCTCAGGTAAGGTGAAGTGGGAACTCTGCGGAGGAGCCAATGCAGCTGAAGGACAGGACACGTGGGTTCCTTCCAGCCAGCTGATTGGCTGGGGGCTCGGGGGCCTATTATTTGGGCACCAACTAACGAGCATGAAACATGTCCACGGCACAGGTCCACTATGAAGGTTTTCTGAGCTGGGGATTTGTGGAACCAGCAGTGATGCTTAAGCCCTGGACCACCTTTCTCAGAAGCAGGAGATAGCCGGGCGGTGGTGGTGCATGCCTTTAATCCCAGCATTCAGGAGGCAGAGGCAGGCGGATCTCTGTGAGTTCGAGGCCAGCCTGGTTTACAGAGTGAGATCCAGGACAGGCACCAAAACTACACAGAGAAACCCTGCCTTGAAAAACTAGGAAAAAAAATAAATAAATAAAAGCCAGGGGGTAGTTCAGTGGCTGGATTTACTAGGATGACAGACACCAGGAATGTATCTCAGATGGCCTTTCTCATCTCAGTGAGACTTCAGAGAAGGGAGACAGCTCCTACTCTTTAGGGGTGTTCCATCTCTCTTTGAGGATGCTGGTATCTCCCGGTCCACATTGGCCCACCTGGAGGAAGGCACCATGATGTGTCTTGACAGCTGCTCTTCCTCCAGGGTCCTCCTCCGACCCTGACTGGCTCTTGACTAGAGGTTTCACATTCAGAATCTTTGTCAATCTTGCTCCCATGGACTGTTTCTGAGGCCTCAGATCCTAGAGTCCCAACTCCAGAGAATGTCCAGGAAAAAGATGACCCTTTCCACTAAGACTTCATGTATTTGGCAATAAACAACGCAGGAGATTTTATTTTTAATTAAAAATTTTTTTATTCACTTTACATACCAACCACAGATCCCTCTCTTATCCCTACAAGAGATTGTTTTACAGTTTTATTTTTTTACATGTAATTTAGGCAACAATAACCAAAAGAGCCAGAAGTACCCAGTGGTGACTCCACATTCTTTCCAGGTTTTGTCTTCAGCATTTCATGACCTGGAATGCATCTTAATTCACAGCATCTGGACTTAACATGTTAATACTAAGGGATCAAGGTCCTACTCTTCCACCTGTCCAGTACCTTGCTTGGCAGGCTTCCTCACATGCCGCCTCCTTGTCTATGTTTCCTTGGGTCATATCACCAACTTCAGTGGCTGTACACACACACACACACACACACACACACACACACACACACACACACACACAGAGTCATCCCTTTGTATCCATGAGAGATTGGCTCTTAGATCCTAGAGGATATAAAAATCTGGAGGCTCAAGTCCCTATAGAAAATGGTGTTATATTTCAGGTTTGTGTATACAACCATCTGTCACTCCAGTTCCAGGGGATCCAACATCTACTGGCCTCTGGGCACCAGATATGGTACACAGATATACCCTTTAAATACTATGTACTTTAAATCACCAAGAGATGAGTTGCCTAATCAGTGTTTCATAGGTATACAGTTGTCCAGCACAGACGCCTTTTGATTTTGAATACCCATCCCCAGTTGGCTGAAACTATGGATGTGAATTCACGGGTGCGAATCCTGCAGATGGGCAGCTCTACCTATGTGTTCTTTCCATCTCCAAAAATGTGTATAAAAGACCAAGAACACCTCCCCGAACCAAGAGCCAGGTGGCCATTTCCCCAGCAGTCACTAGAATATCTTAGGGGGTCTTCAAATGCCACCTTTTTAGAACTCACCTCTCCACCTTCCCCCGGGACCTCCGATCCCCATGTTTCTATCTCAGGTCACAGCAAACAGCTCATCTTCTGTTATCTGAGCTTGAATGCAGAAGTCTCAGTGGAGCCCACCCTTCCCCTCACCCTACTCAATGGCCGGGCTGTGCTGGCTCATCCCCAGTTCATGGACCTACAGTGCAAGTGTCCGTCAATAAACTTTGTCACCTTTATCTTCAGAAATGTGTGACAAGTGCATTTTAAAAACCCTTTTGCCCTCTTACTACTGAGATCCATCCCTGTGCCACATCAACTGTCACTCTTACACAGCATCTGTATCTAATGTCACTCTTACACAGCATCTGTATCTACTGACTGTTTAGAAAAGTTGTACCTTGTCACTCAAGCCATTCTCCATACATTATTCTATTTTCTTTATAGCCCTATCACCTTCTTAAGTAATCTATTTTTGGTGTAATTATCTTTGATAAGATAATCATCCCTTGGGGCTGGAGAGATGGCTAGGTGCTTAAGAGGAACCAACATATGGGTTCCATTCCTAGCATCCACATGGCAGCTCCCAACCATCTGTCACTCCAGTTCCAGGGGATCTGACATCTACTGGCCTCCTTGGACACCAGACATGGTACACAAACATATATGCAGGCAAAACACTCATACACATAAAATAACAAATTAAAAAACCAAAACCACCCCTTACTCAGCTCCGCAGAGGAGGCTGCCGTCTCTCCTTCTCTCTGAGATGGAGTGAGCCCCATCTTAGATGAGTAGAAGTGTTCAGGCTAGCGGGGGATGGGTCTATTAATTAGTCTATTCTTTTTTGTTTTTTGAGACAGGGTTTCTCTGTATAACAGTCCTGGCTGTCTTGGAACTCTCTCTGTAGACCAGGCTGTCCTTGAACTCGAAGAAATCCGCCTGCCTCTGCCCCCTGAGTGCTGGGATTAAAGGCGTGTGCTAACACTGCCTGTCATCTATTAATAATTGTTGACCATCGGGGCCCACGTTTCTTGATATCAAGTCCATAAGCATAAAGAGCAAAAGTGTGAAGCCTCACTTATACTATGGGCTGTTTCTAAAAACAGCGTGTCTAAAGGAGCTTTGGAGGCAGACAGTAAACTGTCAGTTCCTCTGAGAAGAGAAGCTGACGGCCGGGCACTGGGAGAAGAGCAGTCCCTGTTCCTCCTGTACCTCTTATGGCCGGGGCGTTGTATTATCTGTAAGAAAACAACCCCATGTGGAAGACCTCTAGGGCATTCGACTTTTTGGTTTTTGTTTTAAACTCTAGTGATATTGCTGATGGTTTCTCTGTACTAAGGTAGAGCAAACAGTTTACAGACAGAAACTGAGCCATGAAGTGGAGTGACCCATCAGCTCCTCCTGGGAGTAGAACCCAATAGTCATCCCTCAGAACTCCCACCCTTCCCACACAGAACACAAAAGGACGGCTCCAAGGCTCCGGAGAAGGGAGAAAGGGCAAGGAGACGGACCAGAAGGAATGGTCATGTTTCAGGTCTCTCTCCCCAGGTCTTCTGGCTTGCTGGCTCCCTGCTCATCATCAGCATGGCTTCTGTGGTCATCCCCACCATTGGGTGGCGTTGGCTCATCCGCATTGCCTCCATCCCTGGCATCATCCTCATCATGGCCTTCAAGGTGATGCTTCTGAAACTGCCCGCATGCTCCCTTTCTGCTGGACCACTGACCTCTTCCCCACAAATGTATTTATGTTAGCCTCTTAAAAAAAAGATTTCCTTTTGTTTTTAATTATGTAATGAGTGTGTGTGGGGGGGTCTGTATGTGCATGTTAGTGTACCCGATCCCCCGGAACTGCAGTAACATTCAGTTGTGGGGATATATGAAGTTCAGTTAGTTGAGTGTTTACCTAGCATCCTCGAAGCTGTCTTGGGTTTGGTCATCAGCACAGCATAAATTGGGTGCGGTAACACATGCTTGTTGTAATCCTAGTACTCGGGAGACAGAGGCAGAAAGATCAAGGTCACCCTCAGCTACATAGCTGATTTGAAGCCATCCTGGGACACCTGAGAAAAAGAAGGAAAAAGGAGGGAAGGAGAATAAGAGGAAGAGAGGGGAGGAGAGGGAGAAGGGAGCAGAGAGGTAGAGAATGGAGGAAGAGAAGGCTCCTGAGTGGTCATTTATTCCAAACCTCAACCTAACTTGGGTCTCCGCAGGAACATACCCCGCTTTAGAAGCCTGTGACTAGGTCATGGAGGTCTGTCTTCTCATCTGGCATCTTTTAAAGTTTTTTTGTTTGTTTGTTTGGGTTTTTGTTTTTTTGAGACAGGGTTTCTCTGTATAGCTCTGGCTGTCCTGGAACTCACTCTGTAGACAGGTTGCCCTCGAATTCACAGAGATCCTCCTGCCTCTGCCTCCCGAGTGCTGGCTGGGATTTAAGGCATGAGCCACCACTGCCCAGTTTTAAAGCATTTTTTAAAGAATACATAATCTCCCAAGCCTTTCCTCTTCCACAAGAAGCGAAATCACGACCTCCACATCTTTCCCGTGGCTGGTCCCACAGCCAGGCCTCCATCTGTCCTCTGTTCAAACTCTGGATGGTTGGTTTCAGTCTGTTGCTCAGAATCACCCTCCCCCATCCCTGGCCCTTGAGGGCTTGGGGGTGTGGCTCAGTGGTGTAATGCTTGTGTCACTTGTACAAGGCCTTGGGTTCAATCCCCAGTACGTACCCCCACACAACACATATACCAAGAATCACACCCAGACCCCTCAGGGGCTCTGAGACCAGTGGCTTTCAGGCCTGTTGCTTCCTGTGGGAAGACCTGTCCCAGTCTCTGTGGCTGTAGACTAAAACTTCATTGCTTTCTCAGCTAACTGCAGCCCACCACTGGATGTTCTGAAGGCCTAGGTTCAAGTGCAGCCTGGAATTGGTTGCATATGAATTGCTCTCAAGCCCGTTGTATAACTGATATATCTGTTTAAAAAAAAAAATACATTCTACTCAAATATCTAAAGTCGGTCCTTTGGTTTTAGTCCAGAGACTCCTATTCCCTAGCTTTCCCTCCCTCCAGGCAAATTTCCAAGTCAGCATTGCATTGATCAGCATGCCCGATGCGCATATGCCTCCGAGCTTGCCACCCCTCCTGGGTGAGGGAGGTAGCGAGGACTGAGGAAGGCGTGGAGTAGTATCAACGGCACCTTGGGCAGTACGGTACCCGCAGCTCTGACGGTCCCTGTAATCTGTGCCCAGTTTATCCCTGAATCTGCTCGCTTCAACGTCTCCACTGGAAACACACAGGCTGCGCTGGACACCCTAGAGCGCATTGCCAAGATGAACCGCTCAGTCATGCCAGAGGGACAGCTGGTGGAGCCCATCCTGGTGAGTTCACCCCGTGATCCCCCACCAGTAGTCCAGAAGCGCTCTAGTCTGGATGGCCTAGAAGGAGCAGAGATGGGGCTTAATCTAGCTCCTCTCTGCCATACTGCTGCCCCGTAACACTGGTAAATTACCTGACTTCATTTTTGTCATCTAGAAAACACAAACAATGCTTCTTACCTCGCAGAACTGATCATACCATTTGCCTTCATGGCTTATAATATGTGATTTTTTTTTTTTTTTTTTTGGTTTTTTAAGACAGGGTTTCTCTGTGTAGCCTTGGAGCCTGTCCTGGAACTCACTCTGTAGCCCAAGCTGGCCTCGAACTCACAGAGATCCGCCTGCCTCTGCCTCCCAAGTGTTGGAATTAAAGGTGTGCGCCACCACCGCCCAGCATAGTATGTGATTTTTTTTAAATAATAATTTTATTTGTTTTTTGTATTGGCTTTGTCTCATTTTGATAAGATTATTTCAATAAAGCCTGATTCGGTTTTTTGGGGCTATCTTTTGTTTTAAGACAAGGTTTCTCCCTGGAGCTTATGCAGGGACGCTTGGCTCAGTCTGGGAGGAGGGGACTGGACGTGTCTGGACTGAGTCTACCAGGCTGATCACAGTCTTCGGGGGAGGCTTTGCCCTGGAGGAGGAGGGAATGGGGGGTAGGTTGGGGGTAAGGGGGCGGGGTGGGAGGGGGGAGAACAGGGGAACCCGTGGCTGATATGTAGAACTGAATGGTATTGTAAAATAAAATAAAAGGGAAAAAAAAAAAAAAAAGACGAGGTTTCTCTGTGTAGCCCTGGCTGTCCTGGAACTCATTCTGTAGACTAGGTTGGCCTTGAACTCAGAGATCCACCTGCCTCTGCCTCCTGAGTGCTGGGATAAGGTGTGTGCCACCACCGCCTATTTGGGGATATATTGTTACATATTAGTATATTGTTCACATATTGTGTTAGTGGGTTAGTTTTATTGCTTGACGTATTTTCACATTTATGTATGTGTACATTTGTGGGTATGGGTATGAATGTGCATGCCACAGCATGAATGTGGGGGTCAGAGAAAAATTTGTGGGTATCAGTTCTCTTCTACTTTGTGGGTTCTGGAAATTGAACTCATGACATCAGGCTTGACCACAAGTGTCTGTACCTGCTGGGACATCTTAACAGCCCTCTTTTGTTTTTTAAAGGTGTGTGTGTGTGTGTGTGTGTGTGTGTGTGTGTGTGTGTGTGTAGTGTGCAGGTGCTAGTAGATCTGAAAAAGATGTTGGATCTCTTGGAGCTGGAGTTATAGGCAGTCGTGAACCATCTGACGTGGTGCTGGGAACCAAGCTCCAGCCCTCTAGAAGAGCGATAATGTCTGAGACATATTCCAGCCCCCCCTTTTATGTTTGTAGAAATTAAAATCCTGGTCCCCTTACAGGCAATTTGGGGGGTAGGGCATTAGTGGTTTGGTCAAAGAATTCACTCTTTAGACCAGAGTAGAAAGGGAGTTTATTTAAATCAAAGTAAGCTGGTCACACATGGAAGAGTGGGTTGCAAAGCTGGTACCTGTGCCCACAGTGCGTGTAGGAGCAGGGGTAGCTGAACCACTGCTGTCCTAGCCATCACCATGGGGTATGAGGAGACAGGGAATAGCACAGAAAGGAGAGGAAGTCTCAGCAGAGGAGAGAGTCCTGCAGATGAGAGATGGAGTCGAGATGGAGGTAGGTGTGTCCAGGGGCCAGCACAAAGCGGGCTGACCCAAGAGGCTGCCCTTGGTGCCATGGGTGGCACAGCTCAGCAGCTTCATCCTGAAGGTGCAGAGGGGACCACACTGAGGAGGGCCACGCTGGAATGAGTCCACGCATTTGGACTGAATTTAACCCTCTGAAACCAGAGGCCCGATTAAAGCCTCCCTTCTGTAAATCACCTGGTGTGTTGTTATGTCAGTAGAACAGTAACGAAGACGTTGGCATAACTTAGGAAGGGCAAAGTTTCATTTAACGCCGTCTCAGAGGTTACCGTCAGTAGCCAGGGCCTGGGACGGCAGAGCATCATGGTAGAAGGGCATGTCGGAGCAGAACTGCCCACTTCGTGGCGGGTGAGAAGCAAAGAGTGATAAAGGGGGTCAGGGACAAATGGGCCCGGCCTCTGAAAGTTTTCATCAGTGTCCAAATGCCCTCTAATTATGAACACTTCTGTGGATTCATCTTTCGGCTAAGCAGAGTACTCATGAGCAAGTCAATTCTCAGTGACTGGATCCACTAGCCAGGGCCAGTTTTTTTTTTTTTTTTTTTTTTTTAGAAAAAAATTTGTGGGTTTGGGTGTTTTGCTTTCATATGTCTGCACCTCACATGTGCAGTGCCCCCCAGAGGCCAGAGGAAGGTGTTGGACTCCCTGAAACTGGAGTTAGAAATGCTCGTGAGTTGCCCTGTGGGTGCCTGGATCCAGCTGCTCCTCTGCAAGAGCAGCCAGTGCTCTTAACCAAGGAGTTGTTGGTCAGCCCCTAGGTCCTGGTTTTGAACACATCAGCTTTTTGGATCGGGGACGGGGGTTGCTTTATAACTGAGCCACACAGGATGATCTCACCACACCATATTCCTTCTGTAACTCTTGATTTGTATGATCAAGAATATCATAGAAATATGTCCTTCTATATTCTGCACCCCTTTCATTCTCCTAGGAGAAAAGAGGAAGATTTGCAGATCTACTGGATTCTAAATATCTCCGGACCACATTACAGATCTGGATCATATGGTAAGTCCCTGGTTACTGCAAGGCCAATGTGAAATAAACAGGTATTTGAAGGAAACCCACTGAGTAGAGTAGTCTTTCAAATACACCTTATTTTTCACTTTGCCTCTCATGATTTCCGTTATCCATTGTCAATCAAAGTCTGAATTCATATTCGTCTTGATTTCTTCAACAGAAAGACCACATTTACATGTAGCATTTTTGGCATCTTGTAAATTGTTTTGTTAAGTCTGTATAGGAACTTACATGTAAGGCGTGGTATGATCTGTGGTGTCCGCTGTGGGGTGGGGGGTGTCTTAGCTGCATCTTCTATGGATGAATGGATGAAGAGGGACCACTGCAAATCCACTCTCAGGGGTATTACAGAAAAATACACAAGGGAGTCATCAAATAGCTCCTCCCACAATGTCTTGTCTTTCTAGTACCCCCACTTTACCCCCTCTACCCCAATGATAAAAGTGCAAAAAGAGAAAGGAAACCTTAGTAGTCTACCTAGTTTTCCAGCTCTTTTCCAGTGACAAGACTAAACATGTCACTTCCTGGCCTTCTGTAGTCTGGGCTTTCAGCTTACCCCACGACAGGGACTGATCCTTTGAACTCTCCAATGACAGGCTCAGTGGCCCAGCCTTGGGAGGGCCTCTCTGTAGCTTTGAGTGAGCCAAGGATTGCCAAGTGGGACTCAAAAGCAAGTGCTTACTATACAGGGAAGGACCGAGGACTTGTACTGCGCTGAACTAGCATCTCTGGAGCTGGGCTTCCTGGCGCATTCCTGTAATGTCAGCACTTGGGAGGTGAGGTGGGGGACCACGAGTTCAAGGTCATCTACTGCTACCGGTTTGAAGCTAGCTACACAAAACCCTGTCTCAAACAAAATTTAGTGTCTCTGTGCCATATAAAACCAGGAGAAGCCTAAATGGCAAGCTATCCACAAAGAGAAGACATTTGATATATTGCAGTATATAATATATATATATATATATATATATATATATATATGTCTATAAAACACATATGCTATATATATGTAATTGTCTTTCAACAGTTATGATGAAAGACCAGTTTAAGATTTATTTTTATTTTTTAAATTTATGTGTATGTGTGTATTTCCCTGTACTTCACATGAGAATGGTTGGCCGAAGAGGGTATCAGATCCCCTGAAATTAGGGTTATAGGGTGATTGTGAGCCCTCCAACATGGGTGCTGGGAACTCAAGTCTGGGTCCTTTGGAAGAGCAGCAAATCCTCTTAACAACTGAGCCATCTCTCCAGCCCTGACAACTGAGTTTAGAAATAGGCAAAAGGCTCGAATAGGTATGCCACCCAAACTGTCAATCTGCAGCACATGTCAAAACATGCTCAACCATAAAGCCACCAAGGAAATGCAAATTAAAACCTTACAAGTTCTTATAAACCCAACAGTGCGTAAGAACAGCTGTGATGAAAAAGACCCCAGGGCAGGGGAGATGGCCCACCAGTTAAGTGCACTGGCTACTCTTTCAGAGGACTCCAGTTCAGTTCCTAGCACCCCACATGGTCGCTCAAAACTATTTAACTCCAACTCCAGGGGATCCAAACCCTCTTCTTGCCTCCAAGGGCACTGCATACACATATATGCATGTGGGCAAAACAAAATAAAATAAAAATGACTAAATCTTTAAAAAGACTGCCTGTACCGAGGGTTCGCAAGGATGCAAAGTAACTGGAACTTTTCCCTCACACAGCTGCCTATCTAGGAAACCTGTCTAGGAGTACCTATTAGTGTTAAAATTATATATCTTTGTTGTTGGGGTTCTTTACTCTTTTGGGGGCCCCGTCACCCAGCTCCCAATTAAATCACACATGGATGCTTATTCTTACTTATAAATGTCCGGCCTTAGCTTGGCTTATTTTTTGCCAGCTTTCCTTAACTTATCCCGTCTACCTTTTGCTTCTGGCTTTTCCTGTTCTCTTACTTCTGTACATCTTACTCTTACTCCGTGGCTTGCTGTGTAGCTGCGTGGCTGGCCCCTGGACTCTTCCTCTTTCTCTGGCTACTTCTTTTTTTTCCTCCCAGATTTCTCCTTCTGTTTATTCTCTCTGTCTTCCAGCCCTGCCTATCCTTTCTCCTGTCTCGCTATTGGCCATTCAGTTCTTTATTAAACCATCAGGTGTTTTACACAGGCACAGTAACACAGCTTCACAGAGTTAAACAAATGCAACATAAACAAAAGTAATATACCTTAAAATAATATTCCCCAACACATCTTAGGAATCAGTTATTATATTCCAAAGTTTATATCCAAGAGAAATGCATACATATATACATATGTATGTATGTATGTATGTATGTATATGTATATATGTGTGTATATATATAATATAATGCATGTTATTATATAATATGTTTCTCTAAAGTTGTCTTTAGATGCCTGGATGCTGTGTGGACTGTTTCCTGTTGCTCTTGCTCTGTGCCTTCCACATAGATCATTCTCCTTCTTATCCTTGCCTGCCATGGTTCTTTCTGTCCCCCAAACCTGGTGAAAGCTTTTGCTAATGATATTCTTTTTTCATTTTTCATTTTTTTTTTTTTGGTTTTTCAAGACAGGGTTTCTCTGTATAGCTTTGTGCCTTTCCTGGAACTCACTTTGGAGACCAGGCTGGCCTCAAATTCACAGAGTTCCACCTGCCTCTGCCTCCCGAGTGCTGGGATTAAAGGCATGTGCCACCACCGCCTGGCTTTGGTTTTTCAAGACAGGGTTTCACTGTATCCTTGCCTGTCCTGGCACTCACTCTGTAGACCAGGCTGGCCTCGAACTCAGAGATCTGTCTGCCTCTGCCTCCTGAGTGCTGATGATATTCTCCACTCACTTCCAGGTTGGGAATTTCTTTTGCCTACTACGGGGTTATCCTGGCCAGTGCTGAGTTGCTGGAGCGGGATCTGGTCTGTGGTTCGAAGTCGGAGTCAGAACCAGAGGTGATGGTGACCACGGGGGACACAGAGGAGAATCTAAGCCCCTGCTATTGCCACCTCTTCGCACCCTCTGACTACAGGACCATGATCATCAGCACACTCGGGGAAATTGCTTGTAAGACTGCCCGTGCACCTTCTCTGTTTCAGGCAGGGTTCTTGCGGTTCAGGTCAAAGAGAAGTCTGACCCTGTGGGGAGGCTCCTGTCTAGTAGAACTCCATGGGTCTTCAGCTCACGCTGCTCCACCTCCCAGTTTGGTTGTTGTGGGGAGGAGGGCTTTACCTGAAAGAGTAAAGCTTTGAACTGTTTTATTTCATCAATTCCAAATACATGTTTAGTCTGGAGTAGTGGCGCACACCTTTAATCTCAATGCTCGGAAAGCAGAAGCAGGTGGACCTCTGTGAGTTCCAGGCCAGCCTGATCTAATAAGTTCTAGGCCAGCTAGGGCTACATCCACAGTGAGACCCTGTCTCAAATGAAAAGATACATTTATTCTTGAGATTATAATATAACTCTCTTCCCTCCCCCGAACTCCCACACTCAAATTCGTGGCCTTCTTTTTTATTTTTATTTCTCTAACAGCAAACTTTCCTTTCCCCCAGCCCTTACAACCTTTCTGCCCTCTCCCACAGTGATTTCTGAACCTTAGGGGCAGGAGTGGGTTTGTAGATCTAACTGTTTGGACCTGGCTCCACAATTCCACCTTTTGATTGCATGTGGTTGTCAGGAGTTGACTCCATCTCTTGCCGAGAAGTTTCCTTGATGAGGGGTGAAGATTACATTTTTCTGTGGGCAGAAGGATAACTATTTATAGTGTGGTTAGGGATTATGTTGGCTTAGTGAAGAGGTATTTGCAGGTTCTTTTCCAAGATCCATGACTTCACCAGCCTTGGATAGTTGGCTAGGTTTCCCGTGCCAAGCACGGTTTCCCTCTTGTTGAATAGGCCTTCAGTCCAATGAGAGAGATTTTGGTTAGTGCCGAGGTACACACGCCCCTACTGCACCATTGGGTTATCATGCCATACTGGTCATTGTAGCATCGCGGCTGCTTAGGACCACTGGCTGCTCTCCTCCTTTGGAAGCTCACCTGGTGCCTTCTGGTACCATGAAAGCTAGTCCTCAGGAAGGATGCATTCGGGCCAGATCCAGCTCAGGTCCTCTGGGGCCTGTGTCTGAGGTGCATGATGTCTTCAGCAACAGAAACTTACATTTCACCTCTGGGAGGCAACCAAGGGCAACAATATAGTCTATAATGTTTTGTTTGATCCAATTTTTTGTATAATCTGATCTGTTTTGATAGTCTCTTGTTTGATCCTGACCAACAACTCAAAAGAGGGCTTCTCGTGCCTGGTGTTAGGGTTTTGATTAGACAGTCTATGACTCTTGGGTGAGCATCGTCAGCCCAGTTGGGGAAATTTCATTCAAACTATATATGTATATTTATACACCAACTTACATGTATTATAGGTATTTTTAGGTAGATAGGTAATAGTATGTTTTTATGACTTTTTCAGATATTCTTACTGTTATTTTATCTTCTCTTCCATCATTTTATGTTGAATATCCCTTCCCCTCCCTGATTATTTCTTTTTAATGTGTTTTTTTAGATATTTCTTTTGTGTTTATGAATGTTTTGCCTGCCTGTGTCTATGAGCACCAAGTGCATGCCTGGTGGCCCTCATAGGTCAGAAGGAGGGGTCTGATCCTCTGCCGCTGGAGTTATGGCTGGTCGTGCATAACCATGTGGATGGGTGCTGGGAAGAGAATCCAGGCCATCCTCTGCAAGAGCAACAAGTGCTCTTAACTGCTGAGCCATCTCTCTAGCCTGCCTCCCTAATACGTTCCCCCTTCTCGCTTCCCCCCTTAGATCACGTGTGCTTCCCTCTATTGTTTCCCCACCCCCCCACAACAGTTCCTTTTCACTTTCCTGGGTTTTGCGGTTCCTTTGGGTTATATGCTCACATCTGATGATTTGGAGCTAGGAGCCTCAGATGAGAGAGAACATGCACTGTTTGCTTTTCTGGGTCTGGGTCCTTACTCAATTGCCTCACTCAATATGATCTTTCTAGTTCCATCTTTTACCTGGATAAACCCTGGAGCAGGATGTCAAGATACATAATAACTAAAATGGCAACATTTTACCATGACTTGTTAGATTTCAACTGGCAGCAGTATTTTTTGTTTTTTTTTTTTTCCCAACAAAAATGATGACCCATTAGAAAAAAAAAAGCCAGTGTAACTGGGGATATATTGGAGTTATTAGAGTGTGTGCATAAAATCCCCAGGACGGTGTGAACTGGCTCTGTAGTGGTATGGTGTGTGCCTGTCACCCCAGTGCTTGGGAAGTGGATGCAAAAGGATCAGAAATTCAAGGTCATCCTTAGCTGGATTTGAGGCCAGGGATATATGAGACCCTGTCTCAAAAAACTAAGTAAATAAAAAGAGTCAGAGGTCCAGGGCCAAGAGTGGCACAAGGCTACATAGTGAGACTCTGTCTCAAAAAAAAAAAAAAAAAAAAAATCAGTGGAGCCTTGAATTCAATGGACAACGGTATATGGTATTTAGTGCTAACAAACTGGTGGTTTATAAAGCAGTAGAGTCAGCAATAAAATAAAGCTAGGTGTGGTGCACGCCTTTAATCCCAGCAGGCAGATCTCTGTGAGTTCGAGGCCAGCCTGGTCTACAGAGTGAGTTCTAGGACAGTCAGGAGTATGTAGAGAGACCCTGTACCAAAAACTAAAAAACAGTAAAAAGGCCTTTCTGTATAACCAGTACTGGTCACTCATGGGCCCATAAGGAAGAAGCACATTGAAGAAGTCACGGATTCCATGACAGTGTGCCTGGGTTCAGGACGAGATGCTTCCTTATGATTCGACAGGTGGGTCCCCTGGTGTCTTCGACGCTTTTGCTCCAAGGTGTCGCCACCTGTGCCTGTTGTTTGCTTCCTAGTGAACCCTTTGAACATCCTGGGCATCAACTTCCTGGGCAGACGCCTGAGCCTGTCCATCACCATGGGATGCACGGCCTTGTTCTTCCTTCTCCTCAATATCTGCACTTCTAGGTACGTACTCGGCGGATGCTTCTACACAAGCGGTGTGCGCTGGTTATCACACCGGACTTCCTGACTCCCGGGGAAGTCAGCCACAGGGGAGAGGAGAGAACGGGCTGTCTGTCAGACTACAAGGCCTCCCCTGTCCTCTGCCCTGCCTCCTTCAGCTGTCATGGGATGAGGGGACAGTACCAGGATACTCACTCTATGCAAAGCTTCTTGGCGAACTGGAAAACAGCCCTAGTTTTCTTTTCTTTTCTCCTTATTTAGATTTATTTATATATCATGTATATAGTGTTCTGCCTGCATGTGTGCCTGCAGGCCAGAAGAGGGCGCCAGATGGTTGTGAGCCACCATATGGTTGCTGGGATTTGAACTCAGGACCTCTGAAAGAGCAGTTGGTGCTCTTAACCGCTGAGTCATCTCTCCAGCCCCCTCCTTTTCTAAAAAAGAGGATTTATTTATTTATTTATTTATTCATTCATTCATTTATTATGTGCGTGCCAGCAGGCCAGAAGAGGGCACCAGATCTCATTACAGATGGTTGTGAGCCACCGTGTGGTTGCTGGGAATTGAACTCAGGACCTCAGGAAGAGTAGACAATGCTCTTGACCTCTGAGCCATCTCTGCAGCTCCCCCACCTCACCTTCTAAAACCAAATTATCTGGAACAACATGAGCTAATGCAGTGACACAGACGTGTATCTGAAGGCTGGAAAAATAGTTCAGGGCTCGAGTACTTGCCTCAGATAACAATATCACCCCAAATTCGCAGTCCTACGGCACTCTGAGCAATAACATGGTTGACTCTGGATCTGTGAGTTCTACACCTACAGGCCAACTGGCCATAGATGGAAATTTAAAAAAAAAGTTTCATCCCAGACAATGAAAACAAACTGCATCTGTATGGAGCATGTGGGCTGGCTAGTTTTCTGTCAACTGGACACAAGCTAGAATCATCTGAAAGGAGGGAACCTCAGTTGAGAACATGCCTCCATAAGATCTTAGTGATTGATGGGTGAGGCCCAGCCCATTGTGGGTGGTCCTGGGTTCTATAAAAAAGCAGGCTGAGCAAGCCAGGGGAGCAAGCCAGTAAGCAGCACCCCTCCATAGCCTCTGCATCGGCTCCCATCTCCAGGTTCTTCCCGTCTGAGTTCCTGTCCTGATGTCCTTCAGTGATGAACTACTATGTGGAAGTGTGAGCCGAATAAACTGTTTCTTCCCCATGTTACTTTCGGTCATGATGTTTCATCACAGCAATAGGAACCCTAAGACAGCCTGTCATTGTTCTCTCTTTTAGATTTGTGAATGTTTCTTTTTTAATTATAATTTTTTAAATTTATTTAACTTTATTTTATGTGCATTGGTGTGAAGGTATCAGATCCCCTGGAACTGGAGTTACAGACAGTTGTGAGCTGCTATATGGGTGTTGGGAATTGAACTCAGGACCTCTGGAAGAGCAGTTAGTGCTCTTAACCGCTGAGCCATCTCTCCAGTTCTTTATTATAATTTTTAATTTTTTGAAATTATAATATAATGAGATCATTTCCCCCTTCACTTTCCTTCCTCAAATCTTTCCCATGTGCCCCCTTGCTCTCTTTTAATTTTGTGGCCTTTTTTTCTTTCATTGTTGTTACACACACACACCACACACACATGTACACACACACACACACACACACATACACACACATACACACACACACACACACACACATATGCGCGCGCATGCTCTTTCCTAAATACATAAATGCAGCCTGCTTAGTCCGTATGATAGTACCTGTATGTTCATGATCTCAGGGTTGACCATTTGGTATTGGATACTGACTAATGGGGGGGGGGTGGCTCTTCCCTGGGGAAGACTTTTTCTCCTGCTCTCAGGATTCCTGCTGTCCGAGGTTCTTTGTCTAGGACTGAGGTCACGTGAGCTTTCTCCCATGCTAACATGTCCATTGGTGTCATTGTTCAGGCAGCCACGATGACGAGACCTCCTGGATGTAGCGTCCCTGACATTTCTAGGAGACATACTCTCACAGCAAAGTCCCTGTGATCTTTCTGAACCCTCTTCCATGAGCCTTAGGTGGAGGAAGTGTGCTGTAGGTGCGTCAGCTGGGTCTGGGTACCACATGATCTCTTGTTCTCTGCACAATACCAAATGACTCTTCACACACAGCATTTACATGTTACTAGGGATTGTAGGCAATCTAGTGATTTGAAGAGGATATCAGAGGGGCTGGAGAGAAGGCACAGCACATAAGAGCGTTTGCTGCTCTCCCGGAGGATCCAGATTGGGCTGCCAGTACCTACAGGCTGTTTCACAACCACCTGAATTCTAGTTCCGGGAGATCGGATGCCTATTCTGACCTCCCAGGAACACACATGGTACACACACATACATGCAGGCAGAGCAATCATACTACATAAAATCCCTTTTCCAAGGCATGTGCTCATCTGGGAGCATCAGGTCTGAGCGCCCCCTTAGGTGACTGGATTGTGAGGAAATGGACTTTAGGATGTCACAGTTAGGCCAGCTGAGAAGAAGCACCTTGCTGAGGCGCTGAGCTTCGTGAGGCCTTCTGTGTCTCCTGCTGCAACTTCCTCTGCTTCCTCTTCAGTGCCGGCCTCATTGGCTTCCTCTTCATGCTGAGGGCCCTGGTGGCGGCAAACTTCAACACCATCTACATCTACACCGCTGAGGTGAGCACTGGGGGATGGCATGGCTACACCAGGCCATGCCAGGTGAGCTTCCAGTCTGTGGGTAATGCATCCCTGACTTCTGTTAACCTTTGCCAAGTTTCTTAAACTGTGAAATTCTATGCAAATGACACTGGAGAGCTTGATGTGGATTTTTCCTTTCCCATTTAGTCTATTGAAATTCAGTCTTGGAAAGAGAGGGCCTCCTCCCTTTCAAGGGAGATCGGGTTGTTAGTCTAACTTGTCACTATGACAAAAGCCTGAGATAATTTAGGGATGTGAAGATCCATTTTAGCTCAGTCTCAATTGTCCTGGTCCATGCCTTACCCTTTGGTCTGTAGCAGAGGTACCATGGTTGAAGGGTCTGAGAGAGACAATCTGGCCACCACAGCAGCAAGGAAGCAAAGAAGAGTAACAGGAAGGGACCTGGGCTAAGGTAACCTCCAAAGCCCATGCCCAGTGACCACCTCCTGTAACCAGGACCCGGGCTAAGGTACACCCTCCAAAGCCCATGCCCAGTGAC